TTTCTTTTTGATGCACCAACATCATGATGCGGTCGGCGGCGGTGGTGGTGGTGGAGGAGGAGGAGGAGGAGGAACAAGACGTGAAGGTGGAAGTGGGCGGGGCGGGGCCGAAGCAGAGAAAAGGGTTGCCTCTAGCAATGGCTGCAGCGGAAACCGCGGCTGGAGCGGCCGCGAAAGATCTGGAAGAAGGTCCCGTAGACGACGAAGACCAGACCAGCCCGAGTTCGCGACGACGCACGGGAGAAGACGCAGCGTCCGCGGACGAGCGACCACGGCGGCAGCGGACGGAAGGCGGTGATGGGGCACGACGAGGGGGCGTCGGCGGTAACGCCGACGGTCGCGCTAACGGCGGCAGCGACGGCGAGGGCGACCGTAACATCCGGATGGAGACGTCGGAGCTCGCGGTTGGGCCTACACCGGGATCGGGAGCCCTCACGTGCCGGTTGCGGGAGTTCGTTCGGACCCCGGCGTTCCTTTCGTGGGTGCAAGAGCTGCGGCGGCCCGGCGACCTCGACAGCTATGGACTCTGGCGCGCTTGGTCTGACGGCGGGGGGAATGAGCGGTGCCGCCTCGGCACGGTCTGGAGAGGCGGGGTTCACGGGGCTCCGAAGGGCGGCGCGAGTGTGGTCGGGGAGGGCCGCGAGGACGCCGCACCTGTTGCTTGTGCTGGTCGCCGCGGGGAGGGCGAGGGTGGGGGTGGTGGTACGAACAGGCGGGACCCGCTCGTGTTTTGCGCGCGCTTCAAGGACGAGGTGAGAGGGTGCTCATGTACACGACGCATTTGTGCGGGCGTAGAGTTTAATCGCTTTGTCCGGATGTCGGAATGTGTTTTTGGGATTGCCCCGGCTTTCGTTGGAAGGGAGGGCTTTAGAATATTGGGACTCGCGTGGTTGAGGAAACGATGAAACCAACGCGCACACGTTCCTGGCAGGGTTGAGAACCAAACCCACTCTCGCTTTCTCTCTCCCCTCTTTCTTTCCGTCTCTTTCTTTGTCTCTCTCTGTCCCCTTCTCCCCTCTCCCTCTCTCCCTCCTGCCTCCTCACCCCCCTCTTTTCAAATTCATGCTGATATCCTATGGCACAGACGGCCGGAAACCTCCGGTGGAGCTGTGACTCTTGCGTGCTCAAGAGGAAGGACTGCGACGGAAAGGACCCTTGCGCTCGCTGCTGCCGACGGCGGGGCCGAAAATGCACCCGCACTTTCCCTCCGAAAGATATTCGCTCCACGGTGGGGCGTCTTGATGGAATCCCTTTATTCTCGTGTTGATTTCGGCTGCTTTTTGCGCTATGACATACTCCAAGTCATTGCACAACCGACGTTTTCGGTTCAAGTCCTCCAGTGGACGAGACTGCTTCGCCCTGCTTGATAGTTGGGTTGTCCATGCAGGAAAATGAAAACGAGCGAAATCGTGTGGGCAGTTACCCACGGTTTGACGATTTGTTATGGCGTGAGAAATGTTCAATGGGTGTCTCTGTTCCGGCGAATTTGTATGTTTGTATTTGGGACTACGCGTGTTGTCGAGGAACCGGGCTTCGGCTCAGGGGAGCGTGATGTGTGTGTCACGATTGTGTAGGTTTACCCGAGGCGTTTTTTCGCTTGGGCAAGCCGCGCCTCCTTGCTATGGGGGTATCATGCGTCGAAAACCGATCGAGGTGTGGGACTGCCAATAGGCTGTGTACGAGAACAACGTGATTCTTGAGAGATGAATTGCGGCGGCTTCGACACGGACAACGATACACATGTATATTCCATTTGCAGCAAAACAAACACACATTACTATGGATGAAAGAGTGAAGATCACAGCGCCATTTCCACCTCCACCATCATCACCATCGACAAGAACCACAACACGTGCTAGCACCTTCGCAGCACCAAGGACGACCACTAAGCGTACCTGGCAGCAACATCTCCAGCAACAGAGCGGCAGCAGCAGCGGCAACAACATTCCAACCCGACGCCCAACATCCACACCCGTGCAGGTGACCATCCCCGCCTTCCCCGCCGCCGCCGCCGGTGACGGGAGGGGCACCCTTCGTGTCGGGATCAAAGACGCCGCGTCCCGCCTCTTGCCCTCGTGGGACCGGAGGAATGCTGACGGTGGGTGGAACGACGCGGCGCTCTCGCCGTTGGTGGGAGCTGATCGTGACTTGAGTGGCAGGCGTCGGTTTTGTGCTATGCCGCTGACGCCGCCGCCGCTTGTGGTGGTGGTGGTAGTGCGGCCGCTACTGTTGCCATAGCGGTGCTTCCTCGTTTCATTTCATCGCGACACTCGCAGAAGTCCTACCGTACCGTACCGTCGAGACGGGTTGAACGATGATGTTTGGAAAGGCGTCCGTCATCCGGTGTTCTAGAAGCGACGGCAGCAGTGATGCAAGAAGCTGGTGTATCTCCCTCATTGACCATGTTCTACAGACACGCTATTGTAGTTGTGCTGCTGCTTGTTGTTGACGCTACTCCCCCTGCACCTGGCCCTCCCTACCCTTTCCGTCATCTTTTCTTTCGCTCGTGTTCCATTTTTGATGCGCACACCACACCAGCGCCAGACCAAGGCGTGTCAGGGCCGAGCTTCTCCTCTGCGGTCTCGCGCTTGCTGCGAGGAGCCCCGGCCCCGGAACCAGCACCGCCACTGCCAATGTCGCGGTCGCCGTCGCCGTTCCTACCGCTATCGCCCTTCCATAGCCGACGGAGGTGCCCGCCGATGCCACGCCTCACCCAGCACATTCTCACGGATAGAGCGCAGATCCTCAAGCTGCACGCGGACTGGCGATCCGCAGCTCAGAACAGGGCGAAGGACACCGGGACCGAGGAAGAGGAGGGGCATCGTCGGCTGGTTGCGGGAAAGGGGGTTGATGCTGGCGGCGGCGGCGCACTCGAAGGGACGGTGTCTGTAGAAGAGAAGGAAGAAGGCGGGGATGATGCCAGTGGTGGTGATAACTGCGGTAGCGGTGGTTGGTCGGCGTCACAGCAGCGAGAGGAGGACGAGGAAGGTGCCGGCGAAGGCGGCGGCAGGCGTGCCGAGGAGGGCGGCGAGAGGAGCGGCGGCCGCGGCAGCGAGGACGTCGCCGTCGTCTCGGACGCGAAGGAGTGGCGAATGCCTCCGACGTGCTACGTGTGCCACCTCCCGCTGGTGTCCATGTGCGAGTGCACCGCGGGCTCTCTGGACGTTGAGAGGTAAGAGATGGCTACCTTTGCTTGGCTCTCTTTTTTCTTCACCTTTTGTTCGCCACACTCACTTACCTGCGTTTTCCTTCGGGGCGATCGACCACAATTTTGCCGCAGTTATCCCTTCTTAGATCTTTTGTTGCGGTTATCCCTACCGCTATCATCTCTGTCCGAACCACACGTTCTGTTAAGGATCCGCGTGTTCCCTTATCCTACTACACCAATTTGTTTTTGGAGGTATTTTTGTGTACGTCGAGTCGTCGGCTCCTTCGTTGATCACCCGGCACTGCTTGCGGCAAGCTCGATTGGTACCAACGGCGATGGCATGTCCCAACCATTCTTTTCGATCGATTTTCACGGGACCTGGGTGCCGTTTTTCGTCCGTCCGCCCCGCGGTGGCGCCTCCGGTGGTTGGGGGTTGGCTCGCTCCAGGCAGTTCTGGGACCACCGAGTGGCCGTCGTCGCAGGGAGGCCTCTGAAGGTGGACCTGGGCATGCAGGAGTACAACGAGGACCGATTCTTCGGGGACGTAGTCCCCACGAGGGGCTCCGTCGCGAGGCACCGGCTGCAGCCGGGCACGACTCACCGTGTGAGTGGGAGGATAATTAGTAGCTTGCTCTTCTTCCTTACCAGATGGTAGTATTTGTAAATAGGCGCATCCATCCGCAAAATAATATGGTCCCTCCGCCCGCTCGATACTCGCTTGGACGCTGAACCTCGATGTGGGTGTCTCGTGAATCGATGGGTCTGGGCTGGATGACGAGGGTATTGCGAAGGTCCGTACGGAACAGGATACGGCACAAGGCCCGTCCGGGAGAGAAAATTGCCAGGCGGGGGGTGGGGGGGGGGTGTACTCATAGTCGTGCATGCCATAGTCGTTAGACCATTGACCTCGCATCCCTACAAAGCCGGGACGGAGCACGCCGTGTTCTCACCGGACCAGGCTCTCACATCACCAAGCGCGAAGCGCCGTGAGGTATTCGGCGAGTCGCATGAAGGGTGCTCTGCATCTGTTCGGCATTTTGTGCTTACTTCCGTGCGTACGGATGACAGCTGCGTATGACGTAATGTATTTTCTGGTGTTTTCACTCCAAAGACAGTTGTAAGCACTGTGTAACTGCCTCGAGGGTGCTTGACCAATTGAACACAACGTGGAGCGATTATCCCCCTTGCGCGGAGTGAGGGTTCTCGACCCTGCGAAAACATAATCTACTCGACCACCATTCATGTACACGCAAAAAAAAACAAAGACAAAAAAAAAAAAGCGGCAACCTGGTTGCCGAGCTCACGAAGTGATCGACTTTTTTTACAACATCGCTGCCAAGCGACGAAAACCCAACCCTTATGGCAAACACCGGGGGGGGCGACTTGTTTTACAACGTCGTTGCCAAGGGACGAACACCCGAAGGGGGAATAGCCGGGGGGGGGGGGCATGAATATGCGGCGTTTTTCACTCCGTTGGGAGCCCCTCATGTACCTTGCCGCGTAAGACCCTGGTTATGTCTTTGTCGTTGTGGCCGGAGCCATGGTTCGATGAGATTGCTGTTTCGCGGTCCAACATTTGGAGAAAGTATAAAGTATCGTTTGGCCGAACGTGGTTGGAGGCTATGCCTCCTTGGCTTCACTTTTTTTTTCGTCAAGGACCCTTTGTTCCCTCGGGTGTCTGTCGTCCACGGGGTGGTCCGCTGCGGCCGACGGGATGCAACATCTCCACCACCCCAAGTTATTAGTTCATTATTCCATTCGTTCTGGTGATCCTTACCCTGGTCCTTGCGCGGCACACAGCCAAGGCGGCCAGCCCGCTGTGGGTGGTTCAGGCGAAAGACGCCCACGCTATTGGCCAAGCTCCCCGAGCTGCCCTAGCTGCGCGATCGAGGAGGAAACGAGCGAAGAACACACTGCCTCTCGACGATCCATGCCCCGCCTTCAGGCCTCGCTTCTGTTAGCACATCATTGCTATGGTATGCATAACTCTGCCCTTTCGGTGCGCTGTCGTTTCTACCGCCCCGCCCCTTTGACACTTTCACGGTGCCCCCCTCCGTGTGCTATGGTATGTCTCTGTCTTCCTTTTTTTTTTTGCGCAGTTCCGGATGGAGCACGCTGTTGCCATGCAGAACCGCGGACTTCTGCGCTACCCGTTCGCCGTAGAACCGCAAGCTCTGCCGGCGCACGGCCCCGCGTCACCGGGAGCGGGGGGCGCGGGGGCGGGGTCGCTTTCCCCGCGGCCCTCCTGCTCTTCACCGGCAGGTGTCCCACAAGATGCTACGTCGGACACGGCAACAAAGTCGACGCGGGAGCAAAGGGAAAGGTCCCACGACGTTGGCGGTGATGCCGCTGCCGCTGGTGCCGGGGACTGCGACATTGGTGACCGCCGCTGTGACGACGAGTTGGACCTACGCGGCCTGCGCGAGTCCGCGAAAAGTGGCAACGGGAGCCGCGCCGCCAACAATGGTACAGGGTCAGCAGAGGCAACGATGGGGGCGGCTGCTGTTGAGCCCAAGCCGGCGTCCTTGTCGCGCCCGAGGCTGGAGGAGTGGCCAGGGTTTCCTTGCCCTTCGAAGGCGTTCGCGCGTGCGGCTCCGATGGAAAACCCGAAGGGAGGGCTACCCCCTTCGCTCCAGGTCTTGAGGTTCATCCACCAGGTGGGTTGTGCAATAGGCGACCTCTGTGTGGCGCACGTCGCGTGGCGGTGGCCGCACTCCGAAGCCAGTCAGGACTTGGTGGGGTGAATGTTTTTGATGCTGTGAGCGTCGACGATTTGGTGAGGTTTTGGGGATTGTGAGGCTCCAGTCGTATCGGCTGTGGTCCAGGTTTCCTCAGGGGAAAGAGGGATGGGGATTGAGTGACCAGATTCGTGCGTTTGTCCAGAACATCATTATTCTGAATCGTTTTTGCTCGCCATGGATTGTTTTGTGGTTGATGCAGGTTGTTTCTCTCGGACATGGTGGTTGTGGCAATCAGCGCCAGTCGCCCCGCTGTCTCATGCCGTGCTTTCATCCTCTGGGTGACTGTTGGCGACGTATGTTGCCGACTTTCGTAACGCTTTTGCAGTGAGTGCCCCTCGATACCGAGCGTTTAGCACCTTGACAACGCGTGAAACCATGGGTTCAAATTTGGGGATAATTAGTTGACGTGCTTGCAAATATGTCAAGCTGCTCTGAACTTGGCTAATGCCATTGAGAGAACATTCCTTCTGTGCTACCTCCGATCGGAGCTCCCTTGAGACGGAGAGGTAAGACCGTACGTCATATCGGTGTGTTCAATGTCGTGGACAGGTGTTTTGGCGCTAAACTGCCACGTGACAGCCGTTGTGTGGTATGTTTTGAAGAAACCATCCTCTTGTCTCGGTCTTGTGTACTTGCTCAGGTGGCAAGCGCTAAAGCCGAAGGGACTCCTGCGCTGTACGGCCTACTGGACGAAAGCGCCCTCATTGCCGTGGGTGCGTTTGCGCAGAGCGTTGATTTTCGGTGCTGCTGGCGGAGTGGGGACGTAGGATTGTTTTCAATGCATGTCATACTGATGATGGTGTGTCCTAGTCGTCTCCGCTTCAGATCTCCATGCCCTAGATGCTCATCCTGCATGTTTTTTTGCAGGCATCGTCCGTTCCACCCACCTGCTACCTATACCGTGACAATTTCTTTCGCTGACGATTTTTTTTCTCCCTAGCCACTGGTGGTCGTTGCCAGGAAACCGGTCCCCTAGTTGAACCCGCTCCCGCCCTCCATGATGACTCGTTCTGAGGACGCCTTCTATCTCATCCGTCTCTCACCCGCTCCTCGCCCGGTATTCTCAGGTGTGCTGGTGGAGGAAATGTTGGAAGAGCTGGTCTCGCCCATGGTTGATGGCCGTACGACAGGTGCGAAAACCAGGATAGACACGGGCAGTGAAGACGGTGCTATGTCGCACGTTACCTTTAACCCTTCCCCACCCCCATTCGACTTTGGGTATTGCCTTTATTGGCGGTATAGGTGTGTCCTACCCACCGAGCCGATCGACTGTGTACCTGTGTTTAGTGCTTGCGTTACGTTTTAATTCCATGCCTTTGGAGGTTTGGTTGCGGGGCAGGACTAGAAAGACAGCTAATTGTTGATAGAATTGCTCCCCGTGTTCTATGTATGGCTTTATTCGTCCTATGCTGTCCACGCCTTTGTCGAATGGGATGTTGTCATCAAACCTGCCCCAAGAATGGCGTTTCCTGCCAAAGTACAGAACCAGGCGATATTCCTGCGAGGGATGCAGTCTGCCCATTCTCGCACACCATCATTTCTGGCTCTCGGTCCCTCCCGTTTCTACCGCCTTTGGCTGTCAATTGATAAAGGCTACAAGAGAGCCACCCCCGCCTCCGTCGCGCGAGAGTTGGAGATTCTGGGAAGGATGGAGAACCGGAACAGCATGGCACCGGCGGCCGACCTCCCGGGGCACCGTCACGGTGCTCTTGATGGAGATAGTGGGTGTAAAGGGTTTGGTGCAGGCGCGGTTGGGTTGTTCGATGCGCCCAAACATGCGACATTGAGGCACATTTTCGGGGAAACATTAGACGATATGCAACGGCAGCAGCAGCAGCAGAAGGGGCAGCGGCGGCAGCAGCAGCAGCAGCAGCGGCAGCGGCAACCGCGGCAACAACTACATTCAGAGCAGCTGGAACGGCTACACGAGAAGGGAAACGAGCTGGAAACAAGGCGGCGCCGCGAAGAGCAACAGGAGGAGCAGCGACAACACGAGCAGCGGGCGGACGCAAAACCGCTGGAAACCGAGGGGAAGCACACGAAGAAAATCAAGAAACGGAAGCAGAGGCAGCCCAAAAACCTGCAGCAGCCACCGCATCACGGGGATCAACAGGAGGACGTACGAAGGGAGCAAAAGAAGCGCAAGAAGGGCAAGAAGAGCAAAACGTGAAAGCGTTCAGTCGTACCTCGTGCGTTGTTCTTCTGGTCGAGCACGTCGAAAGCCGAGGTGGGGCGAATCTGGGTGTGCACTCCCGATATGCCCGGCGTTCTTCAGGGCTTTTGACGTTGTTGCCGAGCAACAAAATAAACAGATACACCCAAGAAGTTACTCCCGGGTCAAGCTAAGAGCAAGCGTGAGGTTGAAAATATTCGCGTGGTCGTTTGGGGGAAATTCACCGACAGTCGCCGTCTAAAGATTGAGGCTACAGCATGTTTATTGTGTTGATTGCCTGTTCGTAACCCACCCGTGACACGCAACTTCACAAACTCCAGCAGTACTGTCTGCCCAATGTATGCGGTGGTTGTGTATTTCGGTAGGAGACCTACAAAAGCAACACAGTGCTTTGTTGACATAATCAACACCTGTGGTCCCACGTAAAAGTTTCGTCGACAAAATGGTAAATGAAAACTATTGAGTCTTGTGGAGAAGAGGAGCGATCCTGCGGACTCCACGATTTGGCATCAAGCCCATGAAAAGCATTGTGATACTTTGGCGAGGTGTCTCAGTAAATAAAGTGTTCGAGAACTATCCCTACGAATACACAACTAGAAGGTGCCCGCGCCAATCGCTTTACTTTGCCCGGAACAACCAACCGAACTTTCGCGACAATTGCGGGCAAGGTTGGATGTAATCCGGTTCATCAATACACTGTGACAAATGGGCGCGGCGTTGCAACCACAGCAGTACCCGTCGTCCAGTGGGAGTGAATCCAGAACATCCCACATACTGCTGTCCCGGCGTATGACACTTGGCTGTCGTTTTCACCCGCTGATTTCGTCGTGATGCCGTGGCCGTGTGAATCCTGCAGCACGTGAAGCATCAAATACTACAGCTCACGAAATTTTGCACGACGTGGTCTCCTTGACTTCCTGTTTGGGCAAGTACAAGTAGTCTGCCCAACCATCGCAACAAACCATATGACACAAAGGCAGACCGAAGTCCCAGCGGAAGAGCACACGTTCAGAGGTTCAGCCGGTTCAACGGTGGCTCCTGCATCGACTTCTGGGAGGGTGATGGTCCCCCCGCCGGCTCAAGGTACAGCTACAGGTGCGACCTGGACGGGAAACATTCATCCAGTATTTGAAGGCTGGCACATCGATGCTACGACCGCGTGGGCGGCGTCTTCGCTGCATCAAGGGCGAGCCATCTGCATCAAGGAAACATTTCAACAGCGAGACGTCTGGGCAGAGTGACGATGAGACCATTTCAGAAGGCTGTGATGACTGCACGGCTACTTCGGCCGCTGTATATGTCTGGGGCCTCCCAATGTTCTACATCACCGTCGACCCGCCCCGGCCCACGAACTCGGCAACGAGATGGGATACGATCGTTGGGCGTTCTGTCGCAGAAGCGGCGTGCACTGGCAGATGCCGCTTGCGATGGGCGCAGGCGAGCCTATTTATCGTTGACGTCGACTTTCATTAGTCTACGTTCTTTATTCGCAAAAGTCTGAAATAAACGCATCGAAGGTGTGGACTGGTTGACGGCAGAGTGGATTACTGTTTTACTGGTGTCTGACATTGTGGGGCAGACGGTTGAGTCAACCGCCCAGGAAATTGCATGTGCGTGTTCTGGTGCTCTTTTATGCGAGCTGGAACCAGTTGTACAGGGTATGTACGGGGGAGCCTTTTGGTTCCGATAAAAACTGCTGTCTAATGTATGTACATAGACTTTATCTCAAGACCGGCTCTATTGGAGGAATTGTTCGACTTTGTCCCTTTTCTTCTCCGGCAACTTGTCATGGTACACGGTCAGGTAGCTCCTTTCGCGCTTCATTCGGCTCCAGCTCCTCCCTGCCAGACCTCGCCAAACCTCGAACTAGATACATTCATCCGCAGATACACGAACAGTTGGTGAGAAAACGCGCTCAGAGCAGTCGCTTCGCGTGATTGGAAGGGTACTACTGGTACTGTATACGGATAACCGTGTGAGCTCCGTTGCATCTTTACTACACCAGGTACATGATTTTCAGGGTGATTCTTCTTGCTTTACTTCTTGGCGACTGGCTGCTTGCTTGACAGCCGAGCTTCACGACGGATCCCCAACACGACACGGCCTCACAACGACAGCAACGCCTACCGCTGCTGTACCATTCTTCGTCGATGCAACGTCGTTTGGCTGTTTGGCTCTGATTGCTTCATCACATAAATCAACTCGTCGGAGATGTCTTGAAATTTTCATTTTCACTTATTACCTGTCTTCTCGCTACCAATCCCTCGGTGTATTCTCGGGTTCCCGGGTTCGTGCGTGCAGTTGTCCTTGTCCAACTGCCCAAAACACGCGTGTGGAATAACCACGGCACTACTGCAACAACGTGCCCTTCCGAGAGAAGGCTTTAACACGTGCATGTGTTCGCAGTTCTGGTGGGATATACGCGAACGGAGCAAAGAGCTGCGACTATTCCGTGGCTGAAGGCGGTCAAAGGGCTGCATTTTGTTGCCCTACCGAGCAATGCCTTTTGAGATCCTGCCATCATGCCGACAATTACACTTCTCAACACGTTGTTCCTGTTACTCTTTTCCAGGCGGCAATGGCCAATCCTGACGATGAACCTCCGGGGAAGTACTTCATCCACACGAAAGCGTCGTTCTTCACCAGCGGTTTTTTCTTTTATGCTTTCGGTAAGATTGTGTTGCGTGAGGTATGCATAGAACTGCTTGGAAAGTCTGTTGGTACCTGCCCTCGAACAGACGGCGGTGCATGCAGTTGGGCGACCCTCTAATAATGGTTCATAAACAAGAATGATCTACAGTTGTACTGTAGCGCCCGCACGTGTTTAATATCTTGCTTTGGTCGAGACCCGTATTTTCTCTGGGGTACCCCAACAGCGTGTGTAAGATTCTGGACTGCGGACCTGTCCATGGCCATGTTCTTAAAATTTATCCACCACCATACAGTTGCCTACAGCAGTAGTGTGCTTTACGTGCTGTAGTTCCCAGGTTCTTATGAACAGGCCTCCAAACGAATTCGTTTGCCGTTTTCTTTTGGGATATTCGACTCGAGAGATGGCGAGCGAGTGAAGGGAGGAGGGAAAAGAGGAAAAAAAATCGAGGGAGATGCATGTTCATGTTCCAAATCCTTGACCAACATGGCGATGGTCGGGCATAGCGGCTCTACATAAGTCCCACATCGTTCCTAGTTCTTCTCCGACCGCTGCACCGGCTCTATTGTACACGAATAACAATTCTGAAGCTGTAAGCTTGAGTCTCATCTACGGACATTGTTCGTTTTCGCCGTGCGTGCGCGTTCCATGTCATTACGACACCCACCACCCTTGACCGACCGGGCTCACAAGCCGATCTCGACCGAGATGGCGTACGTCTCGCGACATTTCGAGTATGATTCCGTAGTTGATCGCAAGCCGTGGACCCTCGCCAAGTTTGATCAAGTTCGGCCGCAGTAGCGTACGCCAGAGGTGTGTACCCATGTGCGACCATGCGCGCTGTTTCTCTCCTCTTCACCGGTTCTACGACTTCCTGTCTTAATCACTCCTTTTGTCTTCTCCTCGAAAAAAATCGAAATTCATCGAATGTTAGCGTCCGCTTGGCAGCAACCAACGCCATGGTGTCCATTGCAAGTGGTGGCTTAGAAAATGAGTGTGTGTGTGGGCTGAGTGATTTCCGATTTTCCAACGCGACCTATTAATGCCACTCTTCTTGTCTTGTCTTCGAAACATTTCGGAAGAAATGTCGAACCTCAGGGTCCACTTTCCAGCAACCAACGGCATCACCGTCAGCAGAAGCCGATAGATGGAGGTTCCCGCGCATATACATCCTCATGCACGTACTCATACACACATATTCACACCACAATTCAATGAATTCAGCGATTCAATGACGTTCGCACGCTCTCCGTGTGTGCCTGCATGTGCTCTTTTTCAGATCTTCTGCATTATGTAGAAAATGAGCGACTCTCCAATGCGAGTAGAATACTGCTTCCACGGCAGTGGTTTTGAATTCCATGGAAGATGGTTCACTTTGATTTCCATGGAAGCTCGCCGAGTGACTTTTATGGACGTTGGTAGGGAACGTACGTAGAATTTCTTGTAGAGGGACGGTTCTCGAGCAATTTCCACGGGAGTTTAAACTTCTATAGAGGTTAGTGGAAGTCGACTAGCTTCCGCGGAAGTCGCATGGTGATCTTCCATGGAAGTCTAATTCAACAATATCCATGGAAGTGGCCCAACTTGGAGTAGCTTCCATGGAGTAGAAGGTTCGACTTCCATGGAAGCGTTCTGGCACAATTTCCATGAAGAGTATCTCCCGAGTTGAGCTCCCGTGGAAGCCAGCATGAGCAACTTCCATGGGAGCTTTCGAAGAATCCTTCTATGGAAGCTGAGAAACGGGGACGATTCCCACGGAAGGAAGTGGTTGCTGGAGTTACCAGGCAACTTCCTTAAGAACTTCCGTAACAATGTCAGCCGCCTTACATGTGACAGGTAGTTTTTGTTGAATACACATATATTTGGAGGCGTACCAGCATATGATACAATGTATTGACGAATTTGGCCAAACCTCGGGCACACAATAGAACATTTTCGGTTTGACGTTCTCTAAGTGGATTCCATGGAAGCGGGCACCCTCGTGAACGATAGCCGTGGAGGCTTCTCGTTCAAGATTCCCCGAAAGCCCTTCGATCACCAAGGACGCTGGATTCTGGTGATATTGTTGCATGATACAGCTTCGATGGACGTCGCTATGAGTATGAGATCCATGGAACTTGGTTCCATGGACTTTGGCGTGTTTCCATTGAATTTGTATTTCACGGTCGACAAACGTTTCCATGGAACTTTCTTTCCTGAGAGATGTCGAGCTTTCATGGAAGTTGTCCTGCAGCCCTCACAACCGCCTCCGTGGAAGTAACTTTCACTGGAGTTGCTTCCACGAAAGTATCTCTGAAGTTCGGGAAGGGGTTCGACGGACAAGCTTCCATGTAGTTCAGTCCATGAATGCCTTGGCGCCGGAATCCGACACGCAGCTTCCACATGGGTTCCATGGAAGTTGTGTGGATTCCATGGACGTCGAATCAATTTCCATCGAAGCGGCTGCGGCGTCTTGCTTGGAATAGTATGCCAACTAATGTGGGCCGCCCGCTCTTCCGCTCCGAGAAATATATTCGCTCCGAGAAGAAACAAGTTCGGGCTATATATGAGAGTGTCAGGGTCCTCTGGCAGCGACCGCATCAGCAACCGTGATCGATTCATGCACGTGTATCATGAACACACGCGCACAAAATATAATGGCGAAACCAACAACTTCGGACGAGGAGCGCCGAAGATACATACTCGAGTTGATTTATCACGATCCGGAAGATCAAGAGCTCGCCTGGATATACCTGCCAAGACACCCGCATCACATGCAGGAGGGGATAATTTTGTCAGAGCCCCCGAACATTCTTTTACGGCCCGTACCATATATAAGGCCACAGCGAGTACGGACAACAAACTCGGGTGTGCCTCACTCCCCACTACTGTAGCTCCCTCTTCCTGTTCCTCTGTTGCTCTTTCTGCAGGAAACACTCCTCCAACGGATCTCCTGCAGCACGTGCCACACGATTCTCCGCGCGCCGATGTTCTCTGCTTAGGCTGCGGCGACATTCGTGACCTGCTGTACTCCGTTCTACTGCACGGTAAACGGGGTGTAAGCTGCGGGCCTGTGCCGCGTCCGCTGTCGTTCACTCTGAACGATTGGGAACCCGCCATTCACGCAAGGAACCTGATGCTGCTGCAGATGATTCTCGACTCTCGCGACCTCATGGACTCCCCCGACAGCATCACCCACCGCATGGGGTCTCTTGGGGGCCTCGGAGACCCAAGCAGAAGCACTGAACCCGCTACATCAGCAGCAGGGAAGGCAGGCGGGGGCATGGATGCCGAAGAGTGTGGTGCCGTGTTTGCGCAGAGGATCGGTGTAATCTTTTGCGCCCTGTTCAACATGTTCGTCGACGCTGAAGTGTTGGCCACAATCCTGGATGTTGCTGGAAGGCTAGCAGCATCGGCTGCGTCTCCCGCGGAATGGGCGTCGACCGAGCTCGGAGGTTTCGTCCACTTCTCCGACGACCGCAGCCGAGACCGTGTACGTAAGATATGGTCTTCGTATACCGATGGGAGCTTGCAGGAGAATGGGGTTTTCATGAAGATCAGGCAAGAGAGGTCGTCTTTCTTGGCCAAGTACACGCCCAAAGGGAAGAAGATGAGATTCGTGTCCCGGGCGATGGGCCTGGCGTCGTGTCGCTTGCAAGAGACGGTGGAGGCCAGTTCCAAGATGCGTCGCCACTGTAAGAATGAGTTGCACGTCATGCCACGAAAACATCGCGCGACAAGGTTTCAAATCTCGGATTTGCTGTAGGTGCATTCCCTCAAAGCTTGTATGCTATGTGTTCACCTCATCCGACTACTCAATGTCCATGCAGACCTCACATGTGGCAATCACTGGGACAAGTAGCATGAACGTGCTAATGCTTGTTTACTTTCATTATGTATACCACAACACGCTTTTCTTCCCCAAGATACATGTCGATACTTTCCCACACAAGTGTCGGACACAAACATACGAAGAGCAAGAGCGACATGAATGGGCCTGCCCATCGCTTTTTGTAATGTTTGATTTATTGAACGAACGATTATCTTCTTCAGTTTCTGCAGTAGCCCGGTTTCAAACACACGAAGGCTCCCCCGCATGGCCCTGTAAGTGACTTTCGGGAGGCCGCCGTGCACTTTCATAACGAACAGGCGCCCAATGCTACATTGCAACGGTCAAGAATACAGTAGTGCACGAAAATCGTGTTGCGGTGGTGCTTATTGTTCGCATTCGACGATGCACTTGAAACCTGTACCGCGCGTGTTGTTGGTTGAACCTTGCTCCAGACCTCCGGGAGGGAATACTCGATCCGTTCCCGCTGCTATGTGAGGACACTCCAGCCAAGCGTAGAGGCCCGTGCAAGCTGGTCAACCCGCTTCTCCTGGTGACGGAGAGGAAAGGAGCGGCTTCTAGCCTGCACTACGGGGCTTTCCCGCTAGATGCTTTCAATACAGGTGGTACGTGTCTTTCGGTAAGGAAACTGCACATGCGTAGGAATACAAGCGGGTGGACACAGGGTATTTTAGGATCGATCCTCGGGTCTTTCACAAACCCCGCTTCGGATTGTTTGACCAAGTGTGTGCGTCGAAATGAAAACGGTCATGCCTAACTAACCCGACCCTCTTTAGATTTTCTCGGGGTTCACCACTTTGGAGATGTCGCAGACCTCGCGAATGCTTTCGTTGGACAGCTTGCCCATCCTTGCCGCCCACCCACATATTGTTCAAAAACCAGCGTCTTTGTGGAAGCTACGGCCCCAGAGCTTCCAAGACGAGTACGGCCAACAAGCACCGACGGTCACTAAGCCCCGAGAGATGAACTCGCAAATCGGCGGCGGAGGTTCAAGGGTCACCAGCATTCCTACTAGCGTAGCACAGCAAGCCTGGCTGAGCGCTGCGCTAGAAGAGCTCGCCCAGATGTGCGGGGCTCTGCTTCGAGCAACTGCCACGAGCAATGCCGACTCGTCGACGGGGTCGCGCCTCAGCATCAACGTCCACGTGGGAGATGCACTCAACTTCTGTGATGCGCTTTTGGCATGCGCGCCCCCGACGAGGGGCTCAGCCGACGCCGATGGTGACGCTCCGAAAGTGTCGGCGACACGAGGTTCGCCCGTTGCATTCCAGCAAGACACACTGCAACCACTGCACCTATGGGCGGGCGCTGTGACGGAATTCGATGTCATCTCATCTAGCAACCTTGCAGATTATCTCGGTAGGTTGCTCCAACGAATTGCAAGGCTATGTTGGCGCTTCTTGGATCCCACGTTCACATATTGGCAAGGTTTCATGTTGGTTTGGACGCATACGTGCGGAGATGGCATGGAAAAAGAGAGCAAGGGTTTTGACCAAGATGACCTTCCACACGACTTTCGCCGGAGGCACAGGGAGCTGCCCAAAAGTAATGGTAGAATTCTTTTCGAGGAGAGTAGTGCACGCAAGGAAGAAGATGAGCAACAATGCAGAGGGCTTCGAAACGAACAAGAGTACACAGCAGTAGATTAGATTCCTTGGATCGGCACTTGCAGTTTTATCCGTTTGCTTTAGTTTCTGTCTTCACGCCGTGGAGCATCTCAGCCTCCCCCACGACGCCCCTTTACGGGGTCATGGCCTTTGGAAGCATATTCCGTTTTCTGCCGCACTGAGGCTGACGTATTTTCTCTTTATCGGCCTGTTAGCGCGGTCAATGCTACAGCAATATAAAACCACACACACGGCGCCGACGGTATCGCATCCCGAGACCCTTTTCGGTGTCGATGCGCCGTTCATCATTTGACTGCTTTTGTCCGTCAATTTGACTCTGTCCTTCTGTCGCAATCAGGCATAATCAACGTAGTGGTGGCTTCTGCACCGCTCCTCAAGGCACACCATCATGCCGTCCTCCTCACGAGCTTCATCTCCACTCTAAAATCGTCAAATCTGTTCCAAGGAACTCAGGAGTTCTACGAGAAGCTGTTGTGCATGAACGCCCACACGGCAGCAGTGCTTCTAGGTGAGCCGCTTGCGACGGAGATGTGGAGATTCTCGGTGTATCATGGCATACGTGTGCACAGTCTATTTATTGGTGTAGCGGCGGGCCCTTGGGGTGCCTACATCTTCCCTATGCATATCGCCTACACTACTGTATGTACCTCTGAGGCCGGGTGAATAGAAGAACAGGACGGCGATGGTGGTTGCGAGTTGCGAGGTTGTCGTTCCTTCATGAAGCTTCAATATATAGCGCACCCAGGTCATCGGCCGTCTTCGCGGTAAATCAGATATCCAAGCAACGATTCTACGGTGCGGGTATCGTCTCCTTCTATCTTATGGGGTATCCGGAATCAGCTATTATCAGGCTGCCCCGCGTCTACAAGAGGGAAATCCAAACGGAAACATGCATGCATCACAAAGGAATTTCATCTGAGGCGAAAAAGATAGGATTGGTGGTGGGGTTAAAACACCGCGCATCTGATTCCTGGGGCCCACCGCAACAAAAGCCACTTGTCTTGCAAACAACTCGTGGTAGGCCTTTCCGTACATCCGCAGTTGATTAAGGGTAGACACCGCAGGTGCTGACTTCGCGGACAAACAAGTCTATCGTATGAAGCTTTTCGTTGACGGGTGAGCATTGAGGCGTTCCCGTCCGCGAGTGCAACGAAAATCCAGGCGCCAAAGCACCAAGGGACGATAAACTGGTCCTACCGCCTAGAAACGAAATGATGCCCCAAGCCTGGGGTGCACGCCCGATGAGCTACTGTGGCTCCAATGTGCCCCCCCGTATCCAGAAGCATGCTCGAGGGTTCGGTATTCCACCCTGCCATCGAAAAACAAACAATCCGTCTTGCCGTGTTTCAGGCACTCCCGGGCCTTGACGAGTGCCACCCGCCATTCCACCCTTCATCTCAAATAAGCCCAGCGTGATGCCCATGCACTCTGGTGCCGTTCAGATTGGTATCTACAGAGACTACAGTCCCCGTCTATCGAACAGTTGCCGCCGCCCTCCATCACCGATTACCACGTGATCACCGATGATTTCATGCTTCTGGTGTAGGTCGTGTTGCCGTCAACGCCGCCACTTAGAAGCTGCGGGAGTACCCGGGCAGACCGCGCGGCACGATTTCGGGCAGATCGTAGGCCAGCTGAACCCACGTGACGTCATCGACGACGCGATACACCATCAAACCCACGAGCTGAGTGCGTTCCGGCATGGCCCAGACCCAGGTTTTCAGGAACTTTGTCTAGTGTGGGGGCGAGAACCGGTGTCAGGGGCAGGAGGGGCATCGGGGGAGGGTTGCATCGTGAGTACAGTAGTATCCACGCCCTTCGTGTGGAGCTCCTTCTCTGCGTCCGGGCCGTCGTCAGACAATTTTGGCATTTACGGAGCTGCGAAAAAGACTGCGGTAGAACGTATAGAACCACGTCGGCAGCACGTATATCTGTACCAGCTCAGCAAACTACGTACCAATCAAGTGCTTCCACCCCCCGCACGAAGGGTATTATATTTGAGACCCAGCTGTACCCGCGTGAGAATGCGGTAATCCTGATATACAGAACCCTTCCAGATCCTGGAAAAGAGACAAACAATTGCTTCTTGGTAGGGCCTGCAGGTATTATTCCGACAAAACCCTTGGCTTGCGAGGTGCTCAACCGCGACAATACGCATTGATCTCTCTATCCTTGCGGGGCTTTGCGTACATCCTACACATGACAACAGCGGTGAATACCGTAGGCGTTACCTACTCCGAGATGTATCAGCGCGAGCGCCTTGTGTTGCTGCTACACAGAAAGCCTTCAGGCCCTGGAGCAGGAACTCGTAGGCTCGTTGCTTGGTGGGGTCTGAGTCAGGATACATGCCGGCAACCCATGTAGCTGCCAGGTATTGGCACCATCTCACCGGCCGTGAGGGCTGTCGATGAAGCCCTCAACGCACTGCTGTTCTGGCAGACGGGTTCGTTATGAAACGCGAGGGATATCCAACAAAATGTACCCCTCAGGCAACACGAAAATACGAATATCAATACTAGGGAATGGGGGTGTCTTGAAGTGGTTTCGTGGGGTGACGTGGTCCCCACCCTCCATATATCCTCGATTCGGTCACCCCAGGCGTAGCACCAGTGTCGAGCCTCTCATCGGTGGTTGACCATACCGACATCAACGCGCTCATCACTGGAACGGGTTCGCGGGAGATACGTCCGGAGTCGTCGGAGAACCCTCTTGGTCCGTCAGCAACGAGCCTACTGCGGTTGGTGTGGAAGCACCCGCAAGCTGTCGCCACCACTTTGGTAGGTACTTCTATTACATCATCGGGAAGCGCCGGTGATCGTTCAGAGTCCGAACGTTGCTCTGGAGAGGTCTAGTCATGGCTGCACCTTACCTGGCAACCCGACAGGCAGTTCAGCATTCAATGGGGACCAGCTGGGTTGTCGGCTATTTTAGGGTCAACGAGACCTGTGTAGCCTGGGTTACGTACGGTAGTGCCACGTCAGTTTGTTCTGTTGTCGTGATGTGGATGCCTGGTATCCTTTGAGCCTCTGTATATGACGTCCTCTGAATTTGCCAATGTATCGCCTGTAAATGCCCATCAGGGTGCAGACCCTTCGAACAACGTCCTCGTGGATATCAGTCCGAGGGATTTCGTCAATCTGACGTTGTCGGTATACAAGGAGATGTTTGGGCACATGCCAAAAACGTCCATGACCGCGACGCGGAAGTTCGACCGGCCCGCCAACGAGGTCCTGCGTTCCGCGACCATGCCGAAATATTACACATCGGTGTCGTTTGGTCGGTTGCTGTCGTTGGCCGGGCGCCGACTGCGCCTGAGGGTGGCCCACTTCCACTCGGTGCTCGGTGCTATCATCAACAACAGCGGTCTCATCTTGGCCCCCAATCTGCAGCAGGAACAGGTAAGGCAGCTGCTTTCCAACAGGTGCGGACGATGTACGGGTAGCCGAATATCAAGCTTTCGTAAGTGCAAAAGCGACGGTTTCCATGTACGAATCCGCCGGTAGCACATCTCATTCGAAATGCCTGCTTGCTTGGCCAAGGTATTTAACGTCCCCTTTACGCATTTCGCTATACTCGTTCTGCAGATTGCCGTTTTTCACGCACTGGGCCTGGTTCCCATCCGCCAGCATTTTGGTCCCATGCTCCCGATTCCGGGCGATCTACGACGACTCGTTCTGTTGGTCCCCAAGTCCGGCCTCAGCCTCTTGCGCGAGTTCACTCAGCCCGAGTTGTACCTGGCGCTAGCAGGAACTCTAGAGCCCTTCGAAAACTTCTTTGTCAGCGTGCACACAGCGTTTGTGCGAGTACGCCGAGGGAGCAAGTACCGCGGCCAAGAGGATCTTGACGGCTGGCGCTCCTTGAACAGCCATCTCATGGTTCGGGATACGCGGGAGCAAGCCCCGGAAGCAGAGCTCATGGTACGAACATGCCGAAACGAGACACGCGTAACCCTATTTTTTCGATACTGCGATCGTTCATATTTGCGTTTTGTTTCATGACCGATGATGCCGAGGCAGGCCCAGACATGAGATGCGAACATTGGTTGATCTAATGAGACCGCCTGGAGGGCGGTTTCGACCAAGTAGGTGTGGGTGAACGCGCCTATGAGAGTATTAAAGGGTGCAATGTGTAGAGCATATCCATCAACTTTGACAAAACAGTTTGTTTTTTTTCTTTAGGGCAACCTGATTATCAATATGCACATATTCTCTGCGACACATTCAACCACAGGTCTCCGCCATGGTGCCCAGCTTCGCGCTAATGATGGCGCCTCCAGCTTTCACCGAGCTGCAGCTGCGGCCTCGAGACGGCATCGAGATGTATCGAGCTCCGAAGGACGTCTTGAGGAGGCTTGGCGGATATTTCAACAAGCACTTCTTCAAGGCCACCCTAGGCAACGCCGACAAGACGGCGGTCCTCATTCCTGGTGCAACCGGTGGTATCTTGCACGGTGGCGTGTCAACCCGACGCTTCTCGTGCCCCGATCGTGTTGCTTGCCCCGACCGAGACTTGTTGCGACCGTCGCCCCGGACGGGAAGATGCCTAAGTAAAGCGGTCGACACGCACCGCTTCATGCACGGCGATGCTGCAATCGACCAGACGGTGGAGCTCGTCGAACAGGCCGGAAGCAACAGTGGGGACGCCCGGCTGGTGTACAGGGTAACACTGGTCATGGCTAACGACGAGGCACGCGAGGGCCTTGCGGCAGGCGGGGCACCAGTACTCGAGACGTTGCATGATCCTTGCTCTGTGCAGGTGGCGCTGGGGGAAGGGCTGAGCCACGCCGTCAGTCTGCCATTTCCGATCGAGCGAAGGCGTGTGCAAAGGGAGTACAGCAAGCGCCAGGGATACGTGATTTACACCGTACCCCCCATCAGGCTGCCCCTCAATCTTCCGTTGGCTTGGATCGGGCTCGACATCAAAGGAGTAGGAAGGGCGGTTCTGCCGTCGATGCCTTCTTGGTCTCCCGCCGTTCCTCTTTCATCTCTGCCGAGGCTGGACTTCCAGGCTGAGTGGGCCCACGAAAAGGCACGTCCATTCACTTGGCAGAGGGTCACCCACGGGAAGTGGTTGGTCAGATTTGGCGTTTGTTCTTGGTGCGCCCTGTGTACGGCCCTCAGATTCGGGCATCGTGTGTTTCGTCTGCAAGAGAGCCAGGGTCACCACAACCTCTTTCACAATGACATCCTTCATGCTCCCATAGTAGATGCAGGAACGCTCCGTCGTGGGTTTCAGAAAACGTATACCGAGATACCAAACATTATTGCTGTTCGGTGTGAATAATCGTGTGCTCGAAGGTCATGGGCGGCTTCTCGTTCACCCCAGCGGAAAGGTCCATGCGGGAGGGGCTCCCCACGCCTAACTCAGAGATCATCGATCCGGTGATCCTTGGGCTGAAGGTGATGATGGAGCCCGTTTGCCCAGGTGTTGAAAACGAGCACTCTTTCAGCACGTTTTCGTGGACGAACTTACTTCATACATTTCAGTCACTCGGACTTTTCAGAAAATTGATAATCATATTCAACCTCTGGTGCGGTACAAAATGCCTGACGGGCAAGCACTTCATCACTAGAATTTCAACCGGAGCTCACGAAAAACGCGAAATTTCTAGTAGACTCTATCGTACGCAAGGGCAAGTACACCATCGTTTGGCGCCACTTTCTCCGTGGGATTGTAATCCAACGTTACGACAATGTCTTGCAATTGTGGTGCTGTCAACCCAGACCCGCGCCCTTCTCTGCAGAATATCTCAAACCAAACGGAGACAAGGGGGCAGAGTAAAAGGAGCAAACCGTCGGTCGCGTCCCGTTAGCTAGCGCATCATCTAGTCGAATCTCCGACTATCGACAGCTATGGTCATCTCCAGTGTTGGGGCCTGTGATTGGGTATTTTTCGTATATGTACCGCTATTGTGGTTACAAACCAGGATTTGAGAGCAGAATCATTCCGTCGTTGTGTCGGCTTTGGGCGGTGAATCTCGGCTCCTTGGGGTTGGTTGTGTTGGTTCGAGAGTGAATGTAGAGGTAAGCAGCAGCGTGATCTGCACACAGCAAGATTGTGGTCGACGGGCGGCCAGTGGTAGGCCCGTGAGTTTGCACGTACACTACGCCAGCAAGACGTTGCACGCGTACAAAGTACCAACAACGGAGGTAGGACAGAGCTTCGGACTGGTGGGGCAGATACCGTGTGTGATTGCTGGACGCTCTTCCGATCATTGCAAACACCGTGCAAGTTGGGATTTGTACGTTCCCACCCCATAGAGTCGAACACGCAGACTGTTGGTGTTGGAATACAGGTCGAAGGTCGTTCGGTGATGAGATGGATTTTTAGGGCGGCGGAGTGTCATGGCTATTGGTAGACAGTGATTAGCGTTTGGCGATGAGTGAAGTTCTTCCGTTCACCTTTCACCTGGAGCAAAGTGACGCCGGATACAAAACATTCAACACGCGTAGTGAAAAGCGGAGATGATTGGTGCTGATTGCGTTGGACACAGTCACAAGACACGAGTACTGCTATTCCAACACACGTGGACATAATTTTGTTTTGATGTACCTCGAAACTACAGTAGTTCCTATGTGCAGCCCCAAATAGACCTTGGCTGGCGCGACGTTCACACCACAAGCTGTCCACGTATGATTTGCAACCTTGGTTTCACCCCATCTAGGAGGAGATTCTCGCCATCATTTCCACGGCCTGCGACCATCATGAAGAAGCCCACGCCTCATCATGGAAGCACCCCTGGATGTGCATCACAGAAAACAGACGGGATGACGAACCCGCTCTGTGGGTGTGGGTGAATGAGATTCTCCTGGACTCCACAAACGAGGCCCTCATTCTCGACTGCTGCGTGATGCTGGCGGACAGGATGGACAGCGCAGCGTCCATCCAGTTAGGCACCGCCCTGGAACTGGAAGAAATCCAAGGACGCGGTGCCGGTATCCGCTTCTCAAAGGTGAGCATCATTTTGGAACTCTCAGCACAGCATGGTTTGCTCTCTGCAGCATCGTTCTGCTGTGATATTCACCCCGTATCGAAAAGGTGCAACCGTGCGTGTTCTGTGCTTGGGACGCTCGTTCGCGCACGCACATGTCTTTGTTGGTCGCTCGTCATTGATGCCCCGATATCGATGTTCTACATTGGTGTTCGCTCGGTTATGAGGGGAATGGGGAATGGGCACCCTCCTCGTGATGAACGCAAGCCCCCGGTATTCAGCACCAAGTCCGGTAACATTCGTTTCGCAACCGTCTTGCATCGTCCGCTGCTCGCCTGTCGTGCCTGGATCCGCAGGCGGTTTCTGGGGAAGTGGCTCTGTGGGGGTCATTGCTCCCTGCGGCCGTCGAACGCGCCCGGCAAACTTACGCCCACACCGCCGACTGCATATACTCGACGCCGGGCTATTCCGGCCGGACCCTTTGCAGCTGTGGAATGGGCAAAGACCTACCTCCGGGGTTCGTCGAATCCATGCGCTCAGCGAAGGCACCGGGACTCGTGCCGTTGCACACATGCTTCCACAGGGCGGCGTTGTCGCCGCTGTTCCCGGCCCACGAGAAGCTCTCCACTCAATTTCCCGCATCAGGGACCGCCGCCGACGGATCGAGGAAGTGTGCTCAATGTGGCAAAAGCGGCAAGCCCCTTCAGTGTTCCCGCTGCCGCAAGGTAGCCTACTGCTCGAAGGAATGCCAGCGCCGAGACTGGAAGAGCCACAAGCCTTCCTGCCGCGAATGGAGCAAGTAGGCTTGGTTACGTGGGTGAAAGGGTGCATGAAGCTGGCATGTGGGTCGGTCGTTGTTTCGCATGTTGCGCAAGCTCGTGCTGGGCTGGGGTTCGTGGTGCGAAGGGGGCGGAAGGCACCTTCCCGAACAATTGCGGAAGTTGATAACATGTGTTCATCGGTTCGGTGTTTCATGCGCTGGAAGGAGTACGTTTCATGTTTTCAAGAATGGTTTCTGTCATCCTCGTTCGGTCCTCCAACCTCTGCGCGACGGCGCAGAGGTGGTGCACTAACACGTGTTGAGAAGCATGATGACCAGTCAGCGCTGACTGGTACGAAGTGCAATGGTCATCATTGTTCTCAACAAAAGTCCGTCAAGCTTTCGTTCAAGCCACGAACACGTCACCCGAGGGGTTGCACCCGTGGGGGGATTTGCGATACCATGCCTCTTGCAAAGCAGCAGTAATACCAGCGGTGCAGAATTATGTTGATTGAATTTTGTGTGGTTTTGGAGTTCTTCGTTTTTTTTTGTTCTGCTGTGGTTGCGGTCGAGAAGGGGGAGGGAATTCGTTGACAGGATTCCAGACGCAGCACCAGCGAATGTTTGCATATGTTTCCAGGGCACGTTTCAGCTGAGTGGTCTTTTCGTACACATTGATGTGTTGAGATCTCCTGTAGAACAAGTTGAGGAGGAACAGAGAGGAGACAGATCTGCATTTTTCGGCGACTGTTACAGATGTCCGGGGGGGGTGTTGAATACTGACATTGATTTTAATTTTATTGTTTGGTGCCGTACCACATACCAGTAAGAGAAGGGAGGAACCGACTTCTGCGTTTGGGGGAATTTACAGTAGGGCGGATGACAGCGTTGTGTATTTCTTTGGTAATGCTGGGCTTGCGTTGGGAGAAGGATTTGACATGTTTTGATGAGTAACGGTCGGGGCCTCCGTGCTTTCCAAATTCGTTTTTGTTGGGTGTTTTCCCAGATACACATGCCCGTCAGCCGAAGAGAGCAGGACGGAGATGGCTGAACGGATAGAGAGATGTGTTCCGGACTGATGATGTTGGAGGCGATAGCAGGTATCCCCTATTTTTTCCGTCGTGCGGCTAACCCCGCCCCCTCGCAGTGCCCCCGAAGCGATGTTGTTGTCGTCGTAAGTCATGCATCTGTTTGGTTCGCGTTAGAAGTTGCCTATTTCGTTGTGCTGGTGGATTGGAGGCCTGTCTATCTTCCTTCTTTTCCGCTTCTCTTCATTTTTCATTATTTGTCTTTCTTTCCTTCATCTTTTGTTGACCCGGGGTCGATCGTCTGTATCCCGGTTAAGTTTCTTTTTCATTCGGGTAAAACCAAATCGCAGCTTGGAGAACTTTTCTGGGGTACTTTTTTATTTCTAGGAAGGTACCTTTCGGGGTAGTCTAGTCGGCTTGTGACCATGGAAGCCGTCCCGTCCGCGCCAGTTGGACAAGTACGGACTTTAGAAGGTATTGCGCGGAGACCGGTTTGTAATGAGAAGACAACGATAACAACAACAACACCGTTCCGATGTTTTTCTGATGTAGCCAGTTGCTTGTTGGGTACTTCTGAGGATGACTCTTTTGTGTTGACGGTTTGGGATTATATCCAGGGGTGAATGCGTTGGGTGCGTCAATAAACTGATGGAGACGCTTTAGGCTGAATGCGTAGCCAGTTTATTGTGGAGGATATATTCCTGGAGTGTGGCTCTCCGTTGATTGATAGGTTGGCTGAGTTTCGTGAAGAATGTCAAGATCGTCTTTCGTATCGAGTAGTTGGGTACGTAGGTACACGATATCCAATATCCGAAATCTGGGAAGCTTTGTGTGGGGGAGGCATGCATATGTTGTTGCGAGTCCAAGTGTGCCCCGCCCCACCCCCGAGAGAGAGCACACGCACATTTGTTCGTTGATTCGGTGTTGTTGTGCCGGAAGGATTACGGTTCATGATAATCAAGAGGGTTTCTGCCATCGTCGTTCGGTCCTGGCTTAACGTGCTGCAGTCCCCATTGTTGTTGTTGTTGTTGTTGTTGTTGTTGTTGTTGTTGTTGTTGTTGTTGTTGTTGTTGTTTGTTGTTGTTGTCTTCACATTAAAAACCGTTCCGATCTCTCTCTACCCAGTACCTTCATATGTACGTACTGATCCAACACTTGACGCGGTCGATTCCCGCGGTCACAGGCTAACTTACCCTAAAATGGTACGCTCAAACAAACTGGCCGCGAGGGGTCCGCAAGTCAATAGAAATCAACGACAGATATTCTGGAGTCCTCCGCTCCCTCTGCGCGCTATGCAAGGCAACAACTGAGACTAGGAGTCAGCATCACGGGCCAGAGAGAAAGAGGTATACCCCCCTTGGTTCAATCTTGGTGCTTCACAACGCAAGCAGAGACAAGGCCATCTGACACAGAAAAAGAGAGAAAAAGAGCGACAACGAGAAAAAAGAGAAAAAGAGAAAAAACGAAAAGGAAACAGGAAGAAAGAAAGGAGAAAAGAAAACGAAAAAGAAAAAGAGCGAGGACAGAAAGAGACCAGGCCGAAAATAACTAGAAATAAGAGACAGAACAAGGCACACGGTGGAGAAACCACTAACGAACGAACACGCAAACATGGCCACCAACCAGCGATACATGGTATTGGTACGTCATCACTTGTGGGGGGTTGGTGCAATGGTGCAGCGTTGGGGGGGGGGAACTGGCTAAAAGAAATTCAATCCGGCACGTATCACGCCACTCGGTCCGTCTCTTCTCGTTTACTTTCTTCCCTCGCCGTCTCGTCCGTCTCCTGCCCCCCTCCCGCCCCATGGGTTGTTGGCTTGTGGTCTCGTTTGAAAGCTCGTTGTCGGCTGGCCTCTTTTTTTTTCTTGTGCCAGGAGGTCATGAACCTCTCAGCTCCTTGCAGCACCGCCGCATGCCAGGGTACTCCCCCCTCCACCTTCGCGGCTTCCGTCCACTTTAACTTCGGTGCCGTGTCTTTCGGTACTGGGATTCCGAGACAACATGGATCGGTCTTCGTAGATCCGTGGTCGGCCCCGAATGCCTTCAGGTCGTCGAGCACACACTTTGGCCTGTTCTGTTCCTGTCCCCCCCTACGTCGCTTCTTCCCCCTCGCCAGTTCGCCGAGCATCAGTCGTTTGGGGGGTCGCCCGTCCGGCTGCCTTGCCAGTGCTCCCGCGAACAGTAGGCGTCGTTGTGGGATCGTGGCTTCAACGCTCTGGCATCCTACCCTCTTCAGCGTCTGGGCGTAGGAAAGCTGCCGGTAGGTGTCTTTCTTGCGCTTGTACCCGATAACTCGAAGGAGCAGTCGGTGGTGTATCGACCGCAGCGTCTGGTAGTGGCCGCTGAGTGGTGACCACGTCATGCAGCCGTACAGCAGTGCCTCCATCGCCTCCGCCTGGAGGAGGCGGATCTTGAGTCGGAACGGCGCTTTCGGTCTGTCGAAGAGCTCCCGGCCATATCGCCTTAGGCACGCCCACGCTCCTCTGCCCCTGTAGTTGATCTCCCGGGTGAGGTCGCCATGTTCGTTGACGAGGCCACCGAGGTACCGGAACTCGGTCGTCTGGGCGTATTTCTGTCCCGCGGCTTCGATGGTCAGCGAGCGGTGGAGTCGGGGGGGGCTGTGGTGTTGTAGTCGGCCTGTCCCTCGCGCGCATCAGGAGTGTCTCCGTCTTCTTCTCCGATACCGTCAGCCCGAACTCGCCGAACACCTCAACGATGATCATTCTCGCCAGTCCTTCTGCAGACCTCGATACGACGCCGGCATCATCGGCATCCCCGATACTGCCCTCCGTACTCGGTCAAGGGGTGTCTCCTCCGCCCCCCCCGCTTCCGTCTTCCCCTCCTCCAAGCACACCAGGCTCCGCAGAACAATATGATCCTCGCTGAATCGGATGACAACGACCTCGAGGACCGCGGCGAAGAAGATGTTGAACAGCAGTGGGGATAGCACACATCCTTGTCGCACGCCCTGTGTCACGAAGAACCAGTCCGATAGTTCCCCGTCGTCCATGCGCACCTGGGCCCGCATTCCATCGTGGAATTGGCGGATGATTTTGATCAGCTTCGCGGGAATCCCGGCCCTGGCCAGCACTTTCCATAGCATATCTCGGACCACCAAATCATACGCCTTCTTCAAGTCGACGAAGCAGGAATTTTCTTTCTCCGCCCCAGCTCCTGGAGGCGGCGCACGACGAACAGCATGTCGACGGTGCATCGCCCGGGTCGAAATCCGCACTGTTCCTCCGGGAGGATGTTGTTGGCTTCGCAGAAGGCGCTTAGACGGTTGGTGGTGATCTTGATGGGGACCTTGCCTACGTGAGATAGTAGCGAAATCCCCCTGTAGTTGTTACAGTTGGACCGGTCACCCTCCTTGTACAGCACCTTGATGGTTGCATCCTTCCACTCTTGCGAATATCTCCTCCGTTCCACACCTTTACGAGGATGGTATAGAGGTGCCCCAGGACGAAGGGTTCGTCGTCATCGATCTTGAGCAACTCGGCAGGGAGGGAGTAATGGTCGGGTGGCTTCCAGTTGTTGAGGCCTTTCGTTGCCCGTTTCACCTCCTCGAGTTCTGGCACCTCTCCCAACCGTTGAGTGTCACGTGGCGCTGGCCGCTGCGTCACTCGTTCGATGATGTCCAGGTTCAAGGTAGGGGATTTGGTGTTGGGCAGGGTGCTGAAGAATCTCGCCCACCGCTGGAGGATGTCGTCCCTGTTTCGGAGCAACACGCCGTTCTCATCCGCGACGAATTGCTGTCCCCTCCGCTTGTCTCCCGCTGAGACCCACTGATCTCTTGAGGTGTTGGTACATTCCTCGCATGTCGCGTTCTTTGTAGATTGCTTCGAGTTCAGCCACATATCCGTCCAGGTGGGCATGAATGCCCCTTTCGACTGCTGTAGCCACTCCCTTACACGCTGCTTTCAGAGCCCTCCACGTTGCTGAGTTCAAATTGCCCCTCATCGCTCGGCGCGCTTCCCGCCGTTCGTTTAGGGCCTGTTCTCGTCTCTGGGGTCTCACACCACTCCTGCGTGAGGCGTCTTCTCGGCTCCTCCCCTAGCGTCGTCCGCCCTGCTTTGAGGAGAGCATTGGTAAAGTCCATCGCCAATTCCGCGGCGGTGGTTATTCGCTCGTCCAGTCGTGTGTCGAGGTTGAGGAGGAACCGATTAGTCACCGCACACCGTGCTGCTTCGAACTGCAATTCCCGTCGGTTGAATTGCTTCTGTTTCGGTTTGGTCCGGACTGCACGGTTGTGGGAAAGCCTGCCACCGAGGTTGACGGTGGCTACTACCATATGTGGTCTGAGTCTGCTTTGACTGGGCGAACCGGCTGGGGGATGACAACCACGTTAGATACTCGGCCGTGATGTGCCTGCCTTGTCAGGATTTAGTCAAGGCGCTTGCAATCGGTTCCAGACACATGTGCCATATTCCGCCCTTGCGCGTCTCAAAGAACGCGTTCGTGAGAGCTAGCCAGTTTTCCGTTGCGAAGTTCAACAGTAGCATGCCATTGTCGTTGAGCTCATTACGCCCGTACATTCCTTTTACCCTTCCGCCCCATCCGTCCAACCTATCTCCCGTCCGCGCATGGGCGTCCATCAGGACATACACACGTTCTTTGGAAGGGATCCTCCGCACGAGACTGTCAAGTTTTACCCAGAACACGCGCTTGCTGTCGGCGGTTGAAGGTTTGGTTGGCGCATACGCAGCTACGAAGTTGACCGCTCCACGGTGGCCTGCAAAAATAAACCTCGTGACCACAAGGCGTTCGTCAATAAACTCCGTGGTAAACGTGGATGTCTTGCACAGTGACTCTTTGACGGCCATCCCCGCACCATGGGCTCCACCAGTCTCCGTGCCACAGCAGAACACCCGGAAACCCGCTGCTGCAAGTTCCGTTCGACCTGCCCTCCGTGTCTCCTTCATTCCTACCACCGATACGTCTTGTCTCGCTGCCTCGTGTAGAACGCTGTAGGCTCGCCCGTATCCATTTGCCCTGTTACAGCCAAAGTCCGCACATTTCAGGTTGCTACCCTAAGAAGTTGACCCTGCTGTCTCTTTCGCGCGGCGTGCGCTGCTCTCTTAGCTAGCCTACGCGCCGCCCGACCCCTCCTTTTCCTCCATCCCCTGTTTTTTTGTTTTTTTGGTAATTTCTTGCGAACACTCGGGCTAACGTGACAGTTACCCCGGTTCTTGCCTTGTTCCCCATAGAGTTGTTTTCTTGTCCTGGAGCGGTGTGGCCCTCCAGCTCCGGACTCTCTCCTTTCATCTCTCTGGGGCATACCTCCACGGCGTGCGGTCACTCCACCACCCTCACCGTGCTCTCTGCTGCTGCATGGCCCCGGTGTCCAAGCCGGGGCGTTAGGATCTAGTCTCATCTTGCAGCTACCAAAGCTGGCGGTTCACGAGTCACCCCGATCTAACGACAGCAGTAACTCCCAACCGCCAAACTCAACAGTGCTAGGGACCGTGTATCCGTCTTTACTGGGTGGTATTTCGAGGTCTAGATCCACTTGCGGAATCTCGGCCTACCCCAGGGACGGGGGGGGGAGGCCGGGGAGGTTAGCCTCTGCTGAAAGGCGCAGAGGTGCATTAACTTGTTTACACATCCCCCCGCGCGAACTCCCCCCCCGGTGTATGCGATCGGGGTTGGGTTTTCGTCGCTTGGCAACGACGTTGTAAAACAAGCCCCCCCCTCCTCCCCCCGGTGTTTTGCCATCGGGGTTGGGTTTTCGTCGCTTGGCAACAACGTTGTAAAACAAGCCAATTCACTTCGTGAACTCGGCAACCAGGTTACCGGTTTTTTGTTACCTCTGGTTTTTTTTTTGTGGTAACCATAATGGTGGTCGAGTAGATCATGTTGTGCGGGGTCGAGACCCCTCACTCCGCGCAAGATGGATGATCGCACCACGTTGTGTTAAAATGGTCAAGCACCCTCGAGACAGTTACACAGTGCTTATTACTGTCTCTGGAAGTGAAAGCACCAGAAAATAAATGAAGTCACACGCAGCTGTCATTCCGTATGCAAGGAAGTAAGCACAAGATGCCGAACACCCTTAGCAGGATGCAGCGCACCCTTCATGCGACTCGCCGAATACCTCACGGCGCTTCGCGCTTGGTGATGTGAGAACCTGGTCCGGTGAAAACCCGACGTGCTCCGTCCCGGCTTTGTAGGGATGCGAGGTCAATGGTCTAACGACTACGGCATGCACAATTATGAGTACACCCCCCCCCCCCCCCTCCTCCCGCCCTCGGTGTTTACCATCGGGGTTGGGTTTCCGTCGCTTGGCAACAACGTTGTAAAACAAGCCAATTCACTTCGTGAACTCGGCAACCAGGTTACCGGTTTTGTTTTTACCTATGTTTCATTTGTTTACGGTAACCATAATGGTGGTCGAGCAGATCATGTTGTGCGGGGTCGAGACCCCTCACTCCGCGCAAGGGGGATGATCGCACCACGTTGTGTTAAAATGGTCAAGCATCCTCGAGGCAGTTACACAGTGCTTATTACTGTCTCTGGAAGTGAAAGCACCAGCAAATAAATTAAGTCGTACGCAGCTGTCATCCGTGCGCAAGGAAGTAAGCACAAGATGCCAAACACCCTTAGCAGGATGCAGCGCACCCTTCATGTGACTCGCCGAATACCTCACGGCGCTTCGCGCTTGGTGATGTGAGAGCCTGGTCCGGTGAGAACCCGGCGTCCTCCGTCCCGGTTTGGAGGGATGCGAGGTCAATGTACGGCATGCACGACTTTGAGTACACCCCCCCCCGCGCGCGCGCGACAGAGACTCCCATCGGCCTTACCTCCCTCCCGAAAGGTTGGTTCGAAGGATGGCTAGGATTAAGTTTCTTCTTAAAGTCCCCCGCGGTTTATTTTTTCCGTTAGCCCCCACTGGGGTGAGTTGACCAGTTTCTTTTGCAGCACGCGAGGCATGTACCACGGCGAGTGCCTCTTCGCGTGTTCAATAGGCTTCGTGTGGTGCGCCTGTGTGTAGACAAAATGAGCTAATAATGTAGGTGAAAAGTCAGCATAAAACGTGAGACGAGTATACACCCGTTTGTGGGGCTGAGTTCGAGTCCAGAAATTGTTGCTACCCCCCCTAAGCAAATTGTGACTTCGAGTTGGAGTAATTTCAAGCTGTTCGCTGGGGCTGTTGCTACATGAGCACATCACCCCCATTTCATCTATCAACAATATTGAAGGGTATTCTAAAGTGGCTCCCTTAAGAACTGCATACTTGTGCGTGAGTTACTTGAGCCACCTTTTGCCTCAGCATCAATGCAAGCCCTGGCCCACGATACAACCCTTTACAGTGTGGGGTGGAAAAATGCGATGCACCGGGAAATTGCGTGGAACTCCTGCAGTAAAACGCCCTGGCAAAGTGGCACACGAACCAACTACTTGCGTATTAAGGACAACCACACCTATGTTGCGTGCTCTTTGCATCGCGTCCTATTGACACCGACATTGGTAGTACAGTTCAATACGCAACACTTCTTCCCGTTGACGTTTACATCGCCGTCCGAGGCGTGACTCTTGCATCGCTTGGCCACTTCCCCAACGGGAGAAAAACTTGGCCTCTTGCCGCACCCCCCGGCTTCGCACATCTTGTTGACAACGTCGACATCATCGGCCAGCCTATGTCCCTTGCACCTCAACGGTTTCCCTTTCACTGTAGAGAATGTGGCATACTTCCTACACGGCACCGAACTCCCCTGATCGCGACCTTGGCACATCCCCCGCAGCCCCCCGGTGTCGCCGTCGGAGAAGTGGGCCAAACAGTGCCTGACCCCCGTCATGGGGTTCACGAAGCAAGGTCTGCCGTTGCAGTTCTCCTCGCCACACCTTCGCCGATTGGTGTTCACGTCCCCCTCAAGCTTATGTGATGTGCACCTGAGCCGAGCGTGCGCACGATCTTGTTATACTGTACAACCGTCGACGCGCATTTTTGGATTGTGTTTACGAAAAAATCCATGATGTCCTTCCTGATGAGAGGTTCAGCATACTCGGGATACAGAACGTTCGGCGAGGGTGGGATTCGGTTCGGCAAGGGTGGGATTTCGGTTTGTTACCCCCTCCATAGTAATCATCGGACTTACCTAACCGGCTTTGTCCCCGGCGGGGAGTACGTTGGGGTGACTCGGCACCCGGGAGACATGCATGGCGGCCGAAGAGGATCTATCTCATCTGGTCGGGAAGGAAATAAATGAAGGGGACGGGGGAGGGAGGAGGTGGAGAAAGCCGGTCGGGGTGGCACACGCACAGACCATCAAGCTTGCCATGTGGTTGATCTACATGCAATGCATAAACCTCCTTACCCGCATGTGTATTGAATGAGTTCGTCGATCCCGCTCGCAATGCATGCAGCAATTTAATCGTCGGAGTCCTTCTTAAACATACCTGGTTGCCGGTGGTTCGTGCAGTGCATAGACCTCATGCCCCGTATCCCGAATCGAGAACGCTTCGTGCAGCCTGCAACGATACAACTCCGGTGCTTGACGTTGGTGTCCCCGTCAAGTTTATGAGACGCGCATCTCATCGGTTGCTGTCCGTCTCTTGCGAAGCTAGGCTGCCTATCACATCCCTTATGTGCACACGATTTGCTTTTCCACCCGCGGGAAGATGTCGCCGCCGTCGTGGTATCAGATGTTGTGTCGCTGGAAACGTCTGGTGGGAATTCTGTCAACCGTGAGAGAGAGAGGTATTTCAGAGGCCAAGGAACACTTTCGGGTAGGGCCCTCGACACACTCGGGGGCATCGTACCATGGTAGTACTCGAGAATTCAATGTGTTCTCGTCATCCAGCTTATCAACCGTCGGCGCTGGTAGTTGCGCTGCGACCAAACACTTTCTCTCTCCTACTACCCACGAAAACAGGAAACCAAGTGCGACAAGGTTGTCACAATCTATTGTCCACACCCAAAATATGGAGCGGATCATCGCCCCCAGCGGGAAAATGATCAGTGGTTGCTGGTTCTCAAGTGAAGTCGGAGGCGACAGGCTGAACTCACCAGAGTGAAAGCTCGCCTCAGCGTTGGTGCGTGCTGAACGCGCACTGGCCACGTATTGCGTGTCCGAAAGATCTGTCATTCTCGAAATGGCCGATGATGCCGAATCATCAAGCGATGTTGACTCAGTCAATACCACCTCCGAAAGAATCGGCCTATCGAGGGAGGAAGCCGCCTCAAGAATATGTTGGATTTGCCCTGTGATCTTGCTGGACGCAGACCTCTGCGGCACTACGTTTCCAGGTGGATCAGTCGACACGATGAGCCCGGAATCCCCGGCTGATGCCGTGCTGGGACTTCGGCAACCCTGTCCCCTAAGCTTCCACTGCTTCTTGATGAATAGAGCCATACTCTCTCTCTACCAGGACGGACCCAGGCCGATTCCTAACATCGACGAGACAAACAGGCAATGGGCGTGGGGTTTGCAATGAGCGACAATATACCTACGTTGTAGCGCTGGGGTGCGCGCGAGGAGGCACCCAACTGCAGCGTCTCGCTTGTCGTATTGTAGGTGTGAATCTTCGATAGATCCCCAAGTGTAAAGGCGTGTCGACTGAACTAATACAGTGCACAATCCATTCCCTGAAATCGATGTACGTCCGATTCAGGCGATTGGGAGTTCAGCCGTATTCATCAAGTGCTGTGCCACAGGCTGGACTCTTTCAACAATTTTCGTGGTTGAGTGATGTCATGTGTGCATACTCGGCAATGCCTGATGATCCTGCACACAAAACACGTCGTGCACTTGTATGGACAGGCATCACCAGTCTTTCATTCTTTGCTACTGTAGTCTAGAGGGGTCGAGCACAAAAAATGTTGCACCTCCTCAGGCGCGTTCCTTGCGACCGGAGGGTAAGAAGGAGGAAACCGTCGGGATTCGGGGTATTGACTGACCCCTTCCTGGCACGCTGTTCTACCCCGCTTCCCCTTTTCCACAACGGATTTGGCTTGGACAAGTATCAACGTGGTTTTGGATTGTTACGAGAGTTGTCCGCGTACGCTTGGGGAGAGGCCATTCCACGCCCATGCGTTGTTTGTGCTCCATTGCCCTCAAAAGAACGCTCCAGAGGTGATTACTGAGAAGTTGAAAACAATCAATCATAGATGGTTCATTTCCATCATCCTCTACAAAGTTCTACCTTGTACGATTCTACTTTGGCCTGCGGACATCACCCACTTGTCGATGTTGTCCTCCACCGAAAGCGACTGAATGATCAACAGGGTGTAGGCCTCAGATATGTTTCAAACGCGTTTCTCCTGCGGCGATCCTACCCATTGAGCCGAACGAAATCGTCCTTCGCTCTCCAGTTCATCCCCACACGCACACATTAATTATTCAACATCTCGGAAGACAAAATGTTGGCACACGGTGATGCGATATCGTGATGATAGAAGCAAGTTGTCGTTGTCGTTTTCCCTCTGTCTGGGAGGTATCAAAACTTTGACGTCCAAGGGTACTGACATCGTGCACCTGGGTGGAGGATTGCGAGGCGGGTGAAACTCCAGAACTCTTATGAAATATTGTCAACAGAGGTCATCTGCGTACGGTAGCATTCAATTTCTTCGGATCGGATCGACAGAGGTCGCTGCTGACAGGAGTAGTGCTCATGATTGATTGGCAATCTTTGTGTTCCCAGGTGGGGAACGCGGAGTGACCTCGTTATCATGGACACTGCGTACTACGCCCCGTTCGCGTAGCTTGAACGACATCGGTCTAACGACATCAATATGAGCATGCCTTTTATTCAAGAGTGAATGCCAGATGCACAATTAATTCAATGTCGAAGGAGCCTACTTACATACATGTTAATGCACAGTGGTGAACCCAGTTTCTCACTCACCTCAACGTTTCACGAACGCAACCAAGAGTGAAAGAAGCACAGGCAGCAGCGCGGAGGAAGAGAGGTACGAGCACCGAAACGAGCTGTTGGGAATGTTGTGTGTACCAATTTCTGGTATACTATTCATCTAGCGGCACGATGCATGTCGTGCTTGGTCCGCCACAATTCATTCCGTGTATCATCTGTCAATTTCTTTTGCGGTACAATGCGTAGAAGGGAATGAGCCGAAATGTTGACAGTTTGACGAGGTTGAGGTGCAGTGCTCCAAGGAACCAACCACACGAAGCCATCGAATTACGCGAAGTATGGAACGAACCCATGTCTCACCGCCGCGACCCTGTAGCAAATGAGGGATTCGCCGTGTTACGAGGCTCACCCCATCTATCGGAGGGGTTATCATCTCCCTAAATGGACTCAGTATCGATCCGGGTTCCGCTCCTGCCAAGTGATGCTGAGTACCGTGCCCTGGAAGTTCGGGATGGAACGACGGGCTAAACCCTGTTGCTCTCAAGGTATATTTTTTCCTCGTTCAAAATGCGAATTTGGGGCAGGTGCTAGCCTGCTTCAAGGCGTAGAGCATCGAAAATACTGTGCCAAGACTCTATACGTCCGATGCACAGTACCAGGTAGTGTTCTCGTGCCTCTATCTGAAGATTCCGCGGAAAGGTACCAGCTGCTTGCCCCGAACCTCTCCTCGACGGGCGAAATAGGTCGACAGACAGTCGTTCCAGCGTCGAAGGTTGTGCTCAGCCAGTTGTAGATTGGACGGGATTTCAATCTGATGGCAGCCAGTCGTATTTGTCGCGCAAGTTTATCGGGATGCTGCATGCTCGTGTTTCGTGCTTGAGAAGGAAGCCGGTCACCGACACAGCCAATCGTTGACGCATGAAGCACCAACTAAGCCAAAACTTGCTGAGGGCGTCCCAAGCAGTGCAGGACGGTCGATGGCTTGATCCTTGCGCCTGGGGCGTTCGGCTCAATAAGGTGCTGATTCGGAGCTTCAGAGTGAACGGCATGAGACGGACAAGACAGACCAGTAGCCTTCTTTTTCTTTCAACGTTCTGTGAGATCTGTAGAGACCGAACGGTCCCTTCGAGGAAAACAGATGAATCGATGGAGAGAGCAAGAATCTTCCGCGGTAGCCTTCGCGCTGCACAAGTACCGTGTCAAAAAACCATACAGTTGTATGGTGGTATTACCACAAAACTGAGGCACGCCTATATGAGCGACGCAGTCAGCTTGCGTTGAAAGTGTTTGTAATTCCGATCCATGCTTAATTGTCTGCAGAATGACTTACATACAGTAGGTTAGATAAGTTCCCATGCGAGGTGCTTTTTACCCTACGCTAGATTGGGCTACTACTGCGTAGGTTTGTTGAGACGTGGTCAGATCATTGGACACAATGGGGAAATATGTTCCCCTCACCACATATTTTTTAGTTTTCGCATGCTTCATTACGTGCTCCCACCATACATAATGTGAGCGCATTTTCAAGGACAATGCAGGAATGTAGATCTACGTTCGCCTATGAACCACTACAGAAGACAAGGCTTATAATGTTACGGTTGCTAGAAAATGCCGCAAAACAATGTGTCAGGCTCTCGCACCACGGAACTTGTTGACATGCCGCACAAAAAGGAACAAAATGAAACTCTTCGTGATTCCATCTTCAATCGATAAGAAAGACGATCCTTCCTCTCCGGTACAAACAAACAAGCCAACCAAGCCGGCGTTGTTAGTGTTGGCTAGCTATGTGCCGGTGACCCGCGAGGTGTTCCTTTCTGCCGACGAAGCTGTTGGCCTGGACAAGCTCGCCGACAGCCGTGAACCGGCGCCACTGGCGGCGTCACCCGTCGACACCGACCCGCCTTTGGCCCCACCTCCGCCTCCGCTCTTCCGTGGTGGTTTACTTATTTGCTCCTTAGAGCTTCTCCTTCGAGTGACGCCGTCCTTCGAGCTTCTTCTGCGACCACCTCCTGTCGCAGGTCGCTGCTGAAATTGGATTGCGTTGCATCAGGAGCGTAGAAGTTCAAAGAGAGGACAATTCTCGGCATTTGGAAGGGAAAACGGGGGGCGAGTCAGTTTCGCCACGGTTTGCCGTGTCTACCACACCGACCTTGATTCCCATATTGAATTCGGAAAGTACTGTGCTTGGTCCCTTCGACAGCGCGGTTATAGCGAGGATAAGGGTGAGTGATTCCAGGGTTCATGCGATGTGAAATATCCCACATGATTTTGCAGGGCTCTAACAACATGAGATGTTCAGTTACCGAGTGACTCGAAGTTCTTTTGGTACGCTCGGTTGGCGGCAGAGTTGTCCCGCCCGATCCGCTTTTCCTGCTGACGCTGCTCTTCACTCTCCCCGTGGACACTTTTGCGTTGGCAGATGTCCTCGGCACTGCCTCAGGTTTTGTGGTGGTAGGGGTGCTGGAGGATGATAGCAGGGGCTTCGCACCGTCGCCCTGAGGAGACGTACATAGAGTGGCCGAAGGTAAGAGCATGGCCGGGTGGACGCGATCGAGAAGGCTGACGCAAGTGTTGGTGATCAATTTGTATTGTGACACGTTTTTTCCATGTTCGGAAAATGAACAAACAACGTCGAAAGTGACGTACAGTAATCCAAAGGCCGTATTCTTTCGATTGCAATGCTTTTGGTGATCGGGTTAATACATAGGCCTGCTCGAAATGTGGCCACTTCTTTGTAGTTCGGAAAGAAAATATATCACCAAGACAACTAACAAAGCAAAAATATATGAAAACATTGGCTTGGAATCCACACCTCCTTCGCATTACAGTACGTCACTTTGGACGTTGTTTTACCATTTTCCGAAAATGTGTTGGGAAAGATTGGAGGGCCTACGCATCGTTGCGAGATCGAGTGTACGAATAAACGAGCGTTGTGAGTTCGTCCCTCATTGTTTCGTTACGTATTAGTCTCTCCCACATGTATTTATTGTGTTGTGACTAGAAAAAATTCCAAAATGACGCAAGCCGAACAGAATTGTGCCCGGAAAATATCCTCACCAAGGATGAATGGATAGACATTCACGACTTTGCCATTTTGAACGATACTTAGGACATGTTGGCAGAGATTATTTCCGCCGCAGGCGGCGTAGCCGCAAACCACCAAGCGGCTGAGACAGGAGCACGACGGAGAAAAAGCTTGAGTGGAGTCGGAGTTTCAGCTTTACGAACTACTGTAGAACTCGAACATTGAAAAAACGAGAACTTGAATGATTTCGTTCTTTTGAGGAAGGCCTTTGGGAAAACATAGCATCATCACAACGTCAGTCTGTTAGATGTTATCACTCCGGGGTCTCCGCGCAATTTCCCTCCGCACGTTCATACGATGAAGATTTGGGCGGTGTTTGTTGCAGATATCAATTGCACCCCACGCTTCCAACAAGGTCCAAACAATCGTGTCCTCTTCGGTGTCTCGTCATTTCAACTTCACTTGTCAGGAAAATCCAACAGTTTCGCAGAAGTCTTTTTCCTGTACGTGAACATGGACGTGGGAATGCGGTTCCATTGCGCGGTTGTCTCGAACACGCCGCCTGTCTTGAAAGGGGACGACTGTCCGGACCGATGAGATAACACGTAAGACCCGCCACAGCAAATGTCTTCCCACTCACGAAAAAGGCCGACGTTCTGTGATGGGGGTTCTCCAGAGAGCCATGCGCTCTTCGCTGTGCTTTGTCGGCGTTCTCAATCCTATCGTGCCCATCTTTGAGCCCTTCGGACACCTCGTTCTCGACACGTTTGAAATCCTTGTAAGAGACCTGAAAAAAACAGCCACCAGAGGGCATCCGAAACAGTGGAGAGGGGGAGACGTTTCGTTGAAAGATGGTGAAAATGAAATGCCGTTGGGCGTACCAAGCTCGAGAGCGGTGTTCCACATCATATGCCCTGCCGGAACTGATGCACTTAGAAGCAAGACTACAAGTTGGCGTCGCATGACGGAGATATTTGTCGAGCGTATGATTCTTGATAGCTTGCGCCAGCCAAACCTTCTGAACGAACCCAGACATCCGCCAAGGCCGCTCAAAAAGTCATCAACTGGTCCTGCAGAAGGGTTTGTGCCACCCAGACGCCGTGCGTTGTTTCTCTCGTCCGAAAGGCCCAGTACCCAGCTTAACCCACCCTCGAAATATCGGCTCCTCGAGAAGAATCAACGTCCATGCTATCTACATATGCAGCTCAAATAGACTAGTGCTAAGGAGCAAAAGAGGACACAAACTCGCATGCTTGGAGAAAGTGTGCAGTTCGGAGAAAACCAGTTCATCCTCCAGCAGGAACGACCCCGATTCCCCGCCATCGTCCTCAGGTAGCTTGACCACCACTGGCGTCGGCGTTCCTATAGGAAAAATCGAGTCCGACTTGGTCACAGGTAACGAAACCTCCCCGGGAGGTTCAACAGGCTCCGCTGGCGTCTCCGGAGCTCGCGCTGTTGATGCGGATTCCGGAGCCGTACCTGGCCCCACTCCACCTAAACCCAGGCGCGCTGCGGCGGATATCGCCGCCGCGGAGGCCTGTGTGTCTGTGGCGTTCCCGTCCGCGTCGCGTCTTTTCTTGTCCCCGGGGAGTTCGACGTGCGAGGGAAGCGCCGGTGGTTAGGGCGGGAAGGGGCAAACGACACAGGGTGATGGAGTAATCCGGTGTGAAAGGGAGAGGCCGTACGGCCTTGAGCAACACCCAGCAGTCCAGTTCATTTTCGAAGCAAGGGGAAACGCATCCACACCACCTCTAAGTTGGTATCATCCGAAGATAGCGTTTCTCCTTAATTGTACCGGTTCACCCGTTATTGAGAAACCTGGTACACATCCGACCAAGGCATTCACCTCACCCATCGATCAACTTGAGCCTGGCCAGCAGGTAGTCCGAGAGAACGGAAGCCCTGGCCTTGTCGAAAAGCTTCGCCCTGGCGTCCTCGGGCAAGCGTTGAATTTCACCTTTGTCCGCCTTCCATCGTCGAAGAAAAGGATGGCGACAGGGAGTTTGTCCATGTTTCAATGAACCACATACTTTCTCTGGCCACTCCCACTGTGACGGGAGGGATCGCATCATACCAAACTAGAAAGCCAAAATTGTGGTATGGATTGTTTCAGTATTCACCTTATTTGTACCTACGGCTACGGACAGAGCTGACGAAAGGTTTGCGCAGTAAATACAATATCCGCGTGATCGATGTCTTGAAACGAAAAGCGAGTTACTTGCATAGCTTACGTGATGAGACGAAGAGCAATGCATTGTTTCTCCTTCGTACGCTGTTTTGGGGGCAATGAATGGGATAGACAGTTCAGCTTTTGGGTGAGGCTTAGAGAAGCTCATTTGTGCAGCATTGGTTCCTGTCCCGTGAGGTCAAGCGTGCGCCACATCTGAATCTCAAGACGGGAGCCGATATAGACATTGTACGAACGAAGGAACAACTGAAATACTCACTTCTGTCATCTCAGCAATCCTCTCGAGCACCGCATCCTTTCCATTGACCCGAATCAGCCTGGAGTCCACCTTCAACACCGGGAAGGGTTCTGACTCCCCCTCAAGCATCGTGGAGATCGCTATGCAATGCTTCTCCTTGTTCTGACGCGCAGCACGTCGGAAAGCCGAAGCCAGCCGGACAAAGATGGTGGATGAACACGAATCGAATATGCGAGTTGTCCAATAAATAAAATATCAATATCGTGGGTCGGATGGGTTTCCTGCGGGTGGCACCCCGTGGAAAGTGGCATCGCATTACCCCGCTGGCAATCGATTCGAAAGGACATGGTGGAAGAACTCGTCATATGGTCTCGATGATTCCAGTCATGTAGGCAACTCTTGGTCTCCATTTCACGGGGCCGACCTGTACGGGTCGTATTTGTTGTCTCCATGATGGACACGATGTACACGCTTGCGACTATCAAAACAGCAATGTCGAGGGAAATGACAGCGAAGATATGTCACACCTCGTGCATGGCGATTCGTAGACTTTCCCCGGTCCTCCAGAATAGCTTGGATCCCTCGTAGATTAGGGTTCCGAGGGGAAACCGGGGCTGCTCCGGAGGCAGCTGGGCCTGAGGTGCAATAGGTGCGAAATCGGAGGCTTCACCCAAGCAGTCCAAGGAAATAACGTGAGAAACACTCCCCTCCACCGGTGGACGTGAAAAACGACAATACCGCGAAAACATGACCGTCTTGTCTTCGGTGGATTTGCCTCTACAACTACGGGTAAGCGCGGATGGTCTCGTAAAGACGAAGCTCTTTGAATCCCCCCTTTTATTGCGGGGTGACTGCTAGAGCACTCTGCAATCTGAGCACGCAGCATCGCACTGCCAGGGGTATTCAACATACGTAGTTTCGCACGGTAGGCGAGTGCATGAGCATATCGACTGCGCACCTGGTTCGGTAGGGTATCACGACGGCGGGGGCTAATTGGAAAACTAGGGTGCACACGGGTGGATACAAGAGGGAAGATGGAAGCGGGGCTGTTCTGGAGACATCGACAGGTGGATAGGTGCGACGAAGTAACAAGGTGTCTACACGGACACCCCCCACCAGGATCGTTAGAATTCCGTTTGCCACCCATCCACCCACCTGAGCTACTTCACCGGCCATCCTAGCTGCCGCCTCATCGATACCGATTTCCCCGTCGCCACGTTTTCCGTGTCCACCACTGGTCTGCCCCCCCTGGTTCGCGGTGGAGCGGGGAGGGAGTCGGGGGTAAAGGGAGTACCGAAGCCGTAGAACTGACGCCTCTTCGAATCGGAGGGAATTTGCGGGCTTACAGGACTACCTTCAGTTTTGCGTGGCATCGTTCTTGCGCGGCATCACACGCGTTTCAGGATGGGCTGCGTGCCGAAACGAGTTGCAGCTGCAGACTCCGGCAAAGGGTGCGCTCGCCGGTGTACTGGAGACAGCTTCTAGTGGCTTGTTGGGATTGCATCGACAAGAACAAGAACATCAGCAACAACAACAACTACAACAACAACAACAACAACAACAACCACAACAACCACAACAACAATCAAGCTGAGAGACACAGCCTACCGTTGTCCTTCGGACACGTTCGGCCTTCCAGGCCATCGTGTCGATGTCGAGGCACCAGCGGATAAACTCGCTCAGCTCTATCGTACCGCTGCCATCTGTATCGAACGTCTTTCGTGGCAGACAGGCACGGAGCAACGGCGGGAGCAGGGGCTTACAAGCAGCCTGAACAGAAATACATTGTTTGGAGCAGCGCGGCGCAAGTACCACGCAAATCTCCGGGGAATATCTCGAATGCCCGTCATATGTAAGAAACGGGGAGATCAGGCTTACCTACCGTGGCGGAGCGTCAAACAGAGAAATCAGGCATACCAAAGGTGGAACAGCGGCAGATGCACAAGGTTGGGAGGACGAGAGGGGTCTCGTAGACCCAACGAACTGTGCGTGGAAGCGGGGTCGAAAAAGTGCGCTTGCTACGAGTGAGCCAAATCCTCTCTAGAGTCAAGGAGGTGCGTGCGTGAAGCCCTGCTCGCATGGGGTCCCCCAAGCTGTATAATCAATTCCCCATTGGAAGAACCCCGCGATTCTCCCCCACATGGAAAACCGGAACGCACGCGACCCCCCTCCCCCCCACGCCCGTTCCCTCCCTCCCTTCCCCCCCGTAACCAGCGGTCTACCTTGACGTAGCCCACAAGATTCACCTTGAATATTTCGCGCTCGTCTTCCTCGGGGATGTTTAGCCCAAGTATGCGAAGCCCCCTCTGAAAGTGGTCGAATGGAATCTTCTCTTCCGTGCTACCAGTCTTTCGTTATCAATGTTGTCGTCGTCGTCGTCGTCGTCATTTTGTTTTTTCCGACGAGGCAATTGGGCGCGGAAAGTTGGGAGTTTCAGGTGAGGGGTGGGCGTCGCGGCTGAGATTGATTAGGCTCGTTGTTGAAGCGCCAACATTGGGGCTAGAGCAAGGAGTACGAAATTGTTCCATGAGCGCTAAAGTAAGGTCGTACCATAAGGGCCATGTGAACGAACTACGAGGGAAGATATTTGGTGTATGGCCTACATGCCACGGGTGTTTTGTATTTCAAGACAAGTCGAAATGTCTAGCTAGCCCCGCTGTTGCGGCCGGAATGTCCTTGGAGGAGGAGTTGACCACAAACGGTTCATGTCTATACAACTATATGTTGCCGTCACATACCTCGACGCTTGAAATCCGCCACGACAATCCATAAGCACATTCCTTCATTTTTTTTACCTCGAGAAAGACGCCGAAGAGCTGAGACGTTGTCCAGCCGTGCTCCTTCCCGCGGACCATGATGGACCTCATCGCTTCCACCGGAGTGCTGTCGTTGCTAGGGTCCCCGAGGATATCCTTGAGGTGCAACCCGCCTTGGCTCATGAGCTCCATCGTTTTTCTTTGTCGAGCAGCGGGAGGGGGGGTGACGTGGAGCAGAGGCACAGTGTTGCCGTTGCTGTGCTGTCTCTTGACGCCATCGGCTTTCGTTCCATCTACTGCCGACAACGGCAGCGTTGGAGTGGTGCGTTTTGTGACGCCAACCTCATCGTTCTCGAGTTACAAGCTACGGCGTCGTAAACCGTTTCTGCACGCAAACTAAGGACGGAGGGGAGGAGGGGTAGAACGACGAAGGCCCCGACCACACGGAAATGATGTGTCCTGTTTCTGCTGAAGGAACGCTGCTGAAACCACGCGTTGTAGGTGGCTGAGAAACATCGCTGGAAGTACAAGATCCAAGAGCGGTGTGTAGGTAGGCGGCTTGTGTATCGACTGTGCAATGTGGAAGAAAAAAATGAACAAAGGTGCGATCCTAAAACCCCGTGATTATTTTTGCACTAGTTTTCACAAGACTTTCGAATGGCAAACAAGTCGTGACTGTCAAAAGTTTACTTCGCCGTCAACATTTCGCGACATGCTTGAAAGCACATCAAGCCTATGGATGAACTACACCTCTTCATAGTCGAGGACTATCACAACCGATTATCGGGGTTGATGCTGACGGCAAGGGATCCCAAAGGACGTTCCGGACCTACGGTATCTTCGTTCAAACGTCGGCAATGAACTGGCTTTTGTCTCCCGTGAAAGCAGCAAACGACGGAAAGGCACGAGCAGCTCGTGGAGCAGGAATACATCACCTGACAAAACACGACCTTGAGGGTCAGTACTATGAGGGACAATGAGCACCTTCTCCTGATCTCGCGATTGGCATCGCTTGTTTTGTCTGAACGTCCCGTCTCAGTCTCTGACTTCGTCTCACACGTTTGTTCCGCCATCGTCCCTTCTGGCGGCGTAGAACCCATCTCCGATGTCTGGGAATTGGACGAACCCGAAAGAGGAGGGGTACAGTTGATGTTATTGCCCATGGGGCTAACCTATGTCTTGCGGCGTGATTCGAATCACACAGGCGGGGTCAGAGTCGAACAAACAGGGCTTCGTCCTCTAGGAACACGGGGGAAGGTCGCTCCGAGTGCAGATTGGCGGTAATCGATCACCCTGTATGCAATGCGATCGATTTCGCGAATGCATTTGTCAAACAGAGGAGTTGACTCTACAGCTCGATATGTCCGAGTCAATTTGCTACGAAAAAGACAGGAACAGACAACCGTTCTTTCGCATGCTACGTTTTCGACGTTTGGCACCGAGGCCACAACAACCGCAGGCTGACTTTCACCTTGCCGGAGCTTCACGAACCTTCCGGGAAGTGGAGTTGCTGCCTTGTCGTGGTGATGGCGGCGCTGTTTCGTCTGCAGGTCCTGCTGCCGCTCCTTGTGTGGTTGTTGGTTGTGTGGCCATGGCTGGTTGCGCTACATCCGCAGCTCCGCACTGCTCTCCTTCGGAATGGGCACGCATTGTTGGAGAGTATCATCGGTTGACTTGGGGAAAGGCGTTTCAAAGAACGGTCACGCAAAACTATTGGACTCAAGGCGATACGTTCGTTGGTGCCACTTCTGTAGCTGTTGTTAGAAGAAGGTTGAAATACAACACCATGACCGCACAGAATCATCATTTCCCCAGTCATTCAACGTTCATTGCTATCTTACGTAGTAGCCTAATTCTGGTTATTTGACCGTCCTTGGTAAGACCGTACAGAAGGTACATCAAACACTTTGGTGTCTGGTCCCTACCAGTACTCATGTATGATATGCAAAGATTATGCTTATGAGAATGGTATCGCGGCGGCCAGGGTCAGCTCGCGGTGCTTCTGTTGCTCAGCGTTTGCCAATCAAACGTTGATAAAAGTCACTAGCCGGTTGTTGTAAATAATCCCAGAAAATTGAAGTCGCTAATGCTCAACCTAAGGGTACTACACGGTAAGGTGCTCTGAACACCTATTTGCGTGCGTCAGCACCATGGTAAAACGCGTGCACACACTTCAAAAGTTCCCCGGAGTAATATACTTCCTCTGCATGATCCTGTGGTGAGTTTCCCCACCTTCCCATTGCCACAAGATATTCTTCTCGGCGAGCTTTACTGTCACTGTCTGATCGTCCAACCCTGACAGAAAGACGGAAGGGGAATGTTGATGCCAGCGCGACTGCTGGGTGTCTACTGTTCATGTATCTAGTCCTTACAGTACATCATGTCTTTATCAGCGTCCGTACTCACCTTCTTTCGTGCCACCGCCGGGGGGAGGGGTGTCCTGCGAGTCCCCCCCCGGCTCAAGAGCTACGTGAGAGGCGTCACGCTCCATTTCGTGTTTTGAACGGGCGTTCCGATGCCATACGAAGGAAACAACTCCGTCGGTCTGCCAGGTTGTTTTCTTTATGAGCGAAGACCTGATCCAGTGGAAGTCAGGACGGGAGGGGCTTCACGCCCAATCTCCTGGAAGTGATGCAGGAGCACCACGGAGAGCATAATCTACACCAAAGACGTAGATTCGTTGCTGGCGAAAGCAATGACGCAACAGCGATTGTCAGTTGGTGTTCATCGAGCGAGAACGAAAGGGCGCAATAATGAAGTCGAACCGACACAAGTTCCGCCGCCCGCACACACGCACAACGCCCACATGCACCCCGTACCCCGTACACGGAGCTCCCTCCTGCCGCTTCTGCCTCCTCAGCCAGTGCTGCATAATCATGAAGTGCCATGCCTCTCAGGCACCTGCTACGGAGAGCCCACGCGGATATTCGGCGTCCAACAGCAGGGCGTCGAACCGGCAGTCTGATTGGCCGGAGGGTTGGCAACGCGAGCGGCAGCGGCAGCAGCATCAGCAGCACCAGGATGGCTTGGAAAACAAGAGATCGGGCGATTTCTTTAGCGACGAAAAGAGGTTATACATGTAGGGGGGGTGGAGAAGACGGAAGACAAGGCTCAGACCCAGGCGAGCGGACGCAGGTGGTGTTCCTTCGGCACGGGATGAGCACGTTCAACAAGCTCAACATATTCACGGTAAGAAAGAGTGATGTCTGCTGTCGACAGCAACAGCGGTATCGAACCGGTGGCGGCGTGACACGCAGTGCATGGAGACACACATCGAATCACCTAGTGCAGCTGTGGCGCATTGTGCTGCGGTTGGTTCCCGTTATCAACACACCCCTCATCAACCGCGGCGCACGCTACGGATCAACGAAGTTCGACAACCCACAACCTACAGGTAGAATAGGTTTGTGATTCGTTTGAGATGTTTGGTGTGTACTCGCTCACCGAAAATCGCGAAACGATGACGAGGACGCTCGTCCACACCTGCTATCGTCCGACAGTACCACCCGGTGCTGAACTGGCAGTGAAGCATGTCCAAGTGCTGGTTTCGTGCAGTGAATGCATTTGTATTCTTTGCGCGGTCGCTATGGGTTTCACGCCAAGAGACAATTCACATAGACTAAACTTGTTGACAGTTACCGCGAGGCCCCATTCGATAGCCCTACGGGGAGCCTAACGTTGTCTTCGTGAACACCCGGGACGTTTCAAAGGAAGAATGGGGGGCGATCGTTGAAAGTATACTTAACGATTCTGCGTACCGAGTTTATATCGCCCATAGTCAAATAGTGTCGATATTTTTTATTCTGTTCAAGGCGCACGCTGGGTACACGAACACACACTCCAGCTTTGGGCGGACTTCTAGTGCATCAACATGAACCGACGATTCTGTTCATATTTGCGTGTCGCCTCCAGTCTTTTTTATCATGTTCGCTTCGGAGCGCCGTGCTTTTTGTACGTGGTGTCCTTGTGCTTTCCAGCATCGGCAAGTTATCGGGAACAAGTGTGAATGATACAGTTTGCGCCACCACTCAACCCTTATTTTGTGGCTACATGCACGATAGCAGCACGATGACTTTTAACTTCGTGTGCCGAAAGATCGCTGGCGCGCCTCGCTTGTAAGAGAAAAAAACATGCGCCGTAAAGGCCAGCAGAGAGACCAAGAGAGAGACCACCACACAAGCACGCTTATGAGCAAAGTGGAGGGTACAGCAGTAATGTCGTCCTTGATGTGGGGCAGATATGTCCTTTCTTTCCAGATCCAATCTGCTGCCTACTGTTGTAAGATCCAAACGGAAAATACGACGGCAGGGTACATACAGCACCCTCGACATGTGATCAACCCGGGGTCCCGCTTACACGATGAAGAGCAGAGATAACGTACACCGGGAACGATGCAAGCCTACTGCCTCGGTGCCTCATGTGGTCCTGACTTCGGTGTGTGTGGTCCAGAATATTGGGAGTGAAAGGAGGTTCGTGGGCTGTGTGCAAGTTTCGCTCAAGGGAAAGGGTTTTCGGGACTACATGCACGATCGCATGTACGATAATTCCTCTCTGTCTTTAGTACGGGGTTGTAAACTTTGCCGTGATGTTTTGCCATTTTTTGCGATAGTGATACCGTGGGGTCGATTTGCTGAGTGAGCCGGGAAAAAAGGCATATCAACCCAGTTAAGAACTCAGGAGTTAAGAATTGAGCTTCAAACAAACAAAATTGAAGAGCTTGAGCACGATTTGTGAGCTCGGTTAAGAACCCATACACTAAAATCTATATACCAACCATTCGTAGCATGACCCTAGGAACTGAGAAGCCTAGCCTCGGCCGAAACTAGAGGTTCTTCATTGCTGGCGCGTTCTGAAGTCTCAATAATGATGCTTTTGGTTTGCAACCGAAGTGGCAACGATAATGCTACCACGACAACGGATTCTCACAAACTCCATCAAAACCACATTCTCTGTGTTCTGACAGCTTTCGGCTATCGCGCAAGCACTCGTTTGTCCCAGAGCGAACGATGGTTGCCGAGGTATGGCCCAAAGTGATGTCAAAGTACCACCTCGGCGGTGTCGTCAGCAAGCATATTTACGGGAGGTCGCGAAACTCTCAAGAATCGCCTTTTTTTTACCGAAAACAATCTCTCTGTGTTCCCACGGCCCCCAGTTGTCGCACAACGCGCCGAACAAGGTGGTCACAGGACCACCTCGGCGTTGTCGCCAACTTGTCTACCATCAACCCAAAAAATAATAGTTAAGTAAAAAACAGCACACATATATGAAATATTTGTGCCTTGTTGACGAAACGGCGTGAAAATTCCCGAAACCATCAGCAATGGGCACGAAGCTAAATGCGCTGTGTTCCCATGGCCATCAGCTGCCGAGGAAGCCGCCCTTTGATCCTAACAACACGTTGTTGCCGATATGCATGTACATGTAGTTCCAAAGGAAAATGGTATGAATCGTTGAAGACATTGAGCTCCCAATGAAACGGGCTTTACGAAGTTCACTCTTTCATTCTTGCATATGACATTCATAGGCAGGGTTTTCGATGTCCCAAGTTCCGCTGTGAAACCGAGTCCCGGCCCCTTCAAGATATCAAAACTCACTGTCGGCAGGATTTGAAACATCGAAAATCGGGATCCCGGTCAACAGGAACACCGAGGTGGTGCTCATTTGCAAGTTGTCGATGAAACGGTGTCAGAGAGTAACCAACACACGGAATCAACTTTGCCACTACAACTTGTTCGAAGAGTCGATGTCTTGCTCGATACGAGCAACTGCAGGGGGGCAATAAAATATCTCTCGTTGGTATGTGATAGCAACTTTGATAGCAACTTTGATGGCCTTGGCCAGGATTCTCCGCCACTTGGGCCGTATTTCTTTTCGCGTTTGTAAGAGTACTAACCTACGCATTCTTACCCCCCTAGAACTGACACCTTAAAGACTATATTTTACAATAATGAACAGGGATGGTGGGACGTGCCGCTGACGGACCAGGGCAGGCAGGAGGCCCTCGAAGCAGGCAAGCTCCTCGCCGCGGCCGGCTTCCGCTTCGACGTCGCCCACGCCTCCGTCCTCAAGAGGGCCGGCTCGTCTCTGCACCACCTTCTCGACGGCTGCGATCAGCCATACATCCCCGTCAAGACGAGCTGGCGGCTTAACGAAAGGTGGGGTGGCACATAACCGTAGCTGTTATGAATGCTCTTTCTTCTGGCATTAGGCCACGGCTAGGCGACGTGTAGGTAGACAAATGTCTCAGTAAGAGATTGGGAGGGAAGCAAGGGGAGAAGCGGAGGGCCGTTAAACACCCAACGAACGTTGCACAACGTGAATTTTACCCGGCACACATGGAGCACACAGGCCGTTTTTCTCACATTCAAGCCGATTTTGTACCTTGCGGTTTGGAGCGCGCCAACCTCAACGCATGTAGTGTGCGTCAGGATTTCATGCGTACACGTTGGCGTCGCCGTGAAGTACACGTGCACCAGCCCAAACCCACAACCACCTAAATTTCAACGCCAATCGAATGCGTTTCACTTGACTTGCTCCAACATACACCCCTGACTCATATTCCTGCCGGCATTCATGTCCTACCAGTCGCATGACTACGCGATCAGACGATGATCTGCATAAGGATGTTCTACCCGCAATGTCAATTTCTTACGGTTTCATTCCCGAGAGTAACACGGGCCTACATTTGGCGACGTAGGCACTACGGAGCGCTACAGGGGAGGAACAAGGCCGTGCTAGAGGAAGACATGGGCGACATCGTCGTCGAGTGGAGGCGAGCGTACGGCATCAGGCCTCCCCCGATGACCGAAACGCACCCGCACTGGCCTCTCATCAGCCTCGACGATCGTTACCGAGGGGTCAAGGTACCGGAATCGGAGAGCCTGCGGGATACGGCTAAAAGGGTGAGGTATCAGTCGAGAGGGTCGAGGGGGGGTGTACTCATAGTCGTGCATGCCGTAGTCGTTAGACCATTGACCTCGCATCCCTACAAAGCCGGGACGGAGCACGCCGAGTTCTCACCGGACCAGGCTCTCACATCACCAAGCGCGAAGCACCGTGAGGTATTCAGTGAGTCCCATGAAGGGTGCGCTGCATCCTGCTGAAGGTGTTCGGCATCTTGTGCTTACTTCCTTGCGTACGGATGACAGCTGCGTATGACTTAGTTTATTTTCTGGTGCTTTCACTTCCAGAGACAGTTACAAGCACTGCGTAACTTCCTCGAGGGTGCTTGACCATTTTAACATAACTTGTGCGATCGTCCCCTTTGCGCAGAGTGAGGGTTCTCGACCCCGCGCAGCATAATCTACTCGACCACCATTATGGTTACCGCAAAAAAACAAAGCCCTGAGGCAAAAAAAAAAAGCGGTGACCTGATTGCCGAGCTCACGAAGTGATCGGCTCGTTTTAAAACGTCGTTGTCAAGTGACGAAAACCCAACCCCGATGGCAAACACCGGGGGGGAGGAGCCGAAAGTGGGGTGGGGGACCAACACGGTGTCATCGGCTCACATCCATAATTGTTAGGTCTCGGGGGGAAGCCGGGGTTGGAAGATTGGGCTCAATAAGGCCTACGGGGGCGTGGGAGGGGCCGTGCGGAGCGAAATAAACTTGGCGAGGGGCGACGAGTGGAACAGACGCCCCATCGAGTGAGCGTAGGTCTCCACAGCTGCACAACTCACTGCATCGTGCACGCCGACACCGCAGTAGTGACTGAGAGTCCAATTTCGCGCATAGGTTCGATTCGAGAACCGATTAACGTCCAAAAGAACGACCCCTTCCACACGAACCTGTTTCGTTCACGCGCGTCCTGTGCCAGCCACCTTCTGGCACCTACTCCTGAGCCCCCTCCCTTGGACGGTGTACCCCGTTTGCTCTGCGCGGTGGTTCTGCAGGTGATGGAGTACTGGGAGTCGGACATCGTGCCAGACGTAAGGGCGGGCAAGAGAGTGGTGGTCGTGGCGCACGCGAACACCCTCCGGAGTCTTGTCAAGAAGTAAGCAGAGAGCTCGGTCTGTGTGGTAATAGGGAAGGTCCCTCGACTACGAGGTGCTCTCACTCTCCCCGCCCGCGGATGCGTTTCACGGCTCTATTGACGCTTAAAAGCCGACACGAGCAAACTCACTTTGGACACGAATATCAACAATTCGAAAATATTACTTCGGCGTGCGATCCGTCGGCTCCATTATTGGCTATTTGAGCAAGCCGTCCGTGCACCATCTACCCACAGTAACAACTTGGTCCGACAGAGTTGGGTGACGGCTGTGGCGTGTGGCCTCGACAGACGTGGGCACGCGGGGCTGACTATTTCCGTACCGAAACTTACGAAAAAAACGTGAGTGACGGTTCGAGATATTTCTCGATGGCTGTTCTGCTGAACCGAGCTCCTTTGTAATTTCTCGAAACAATGTCAAGGTTTTGGGCAATATAGTTGTTACACGGCGCGGACGCTTACGGAACATGGGAATACCTCTTTCTTTCATATCACTTATTTTAAAATAAACGGGCTCTGCTCAATATCCTTGCATATGGACCTGACAGGCTTGATGATATCGACGAGGCCGCGATCAGAAACGTCAACATCCCCACGGGCGTACCTTTCGTCTACGACTTCGACACGGACCTGCGGCCTACCGGGGAACCAGACAAAAACGGGGTCCGCGGCCGGTTCGTGGGGGGTGAGTGAGCGAACGCGCGGGCGGCTGTGTACGTACGTATCCCGTTGGAAGAAGAATAGGAAATGATTTTCGTCGAGCAGATAGTATACACTTAGGGTTACTGTGGCCGAGTACCCATCCTAAAAGCCTCGTCGGAAAGAGCACGATATCGATCGATGATTCTCCTACCTGCTGTTGGTTCATAAGGCTCCCATCGGCTCAAGTACCCCAAGAACAACGTATGTCCTGTTGACGTCTTGAAGCGCTTACCCACACGTTTGGAGAAGGGAGAACCACATAAAAAGCCGCACGTTCATGAGCACACGGATATACATATTGAGAGACATCGAGACAAACATATCACGCACGAACCTCGTGTAGAGACTGCAGCGCTGAGACACGCGAAAACTTTCCTGTGATACCCGATGTTTACATCAGGTTTGTCATCTTGCGACGTTTCGTCTTCATCCTTACCCCGCTTGCGCCCCCACCCACCCCCTAATCTCACCTGAACCCGGCGGCAAACCCTCTCTTTCCCACATCCCCACACCCCTCACGCCCCCACCGCATCGTGTATCCTTCAAGGTTGCGCCATTCAGGAGTGATGCAGGGGGGCGGAGGAGGACGTGACCAGCCGTAGAGAAGGGGGGCAAGCGCAGGACGTAGCCCCGTGTGAAGGCTCCTTCGACCCGCCACAGATGGCCGGAGTGAATGATGAAAAACGGTGGCTTGGGGGTTGCTGAGGCTCATTAGCCAAGGAAACTCCCTAGCGCTGGTCTGCGTAAATGTTCTTGGTGTGTTCTGTGCCAACGAGTGAACTCTTCACAAATTCATATGACAGTCTAGAAAATGGGTTGGTGGTGCAGGCGAGCAGGCTACCGCCGTACTGTATTCCCCTTGGTGTCGTTATTGCATTTGTTATTGTTCTCGTCGCCGCCATCGTCTTCGTTATTGTATTATTATTGTTGTTGTTGTTGTTGTTGTTGTTGTTGTGGTGGTGGTGGTGGTGGTGGTGGTGGTGGTGGTTGTAGTTGTTCTCGTCGCCGTCATTGTTGCCGTTGTCATTGTCGTCGTCGTCGCCGCCGCCGCCGCCACCGCCGTAGTCGCCCGTCATCGTTGTCGTTGTTGTGGGTTGTTTTTGCCTCCGTTGATGACGCTTATAGCAAACAGAACAATATCTATCACCAACTCGACGAGCACCACCTCTGTATTCCTTGCGCGAAACACATCAGAGGTGTAATATGCCTACCATCATTGGTTTGCCGGTGTATGCAACACCGCCCTACGGCACCGCCAGATTCACCACCAACGAACACCCTTTGTACGTTTTATAACCAGCCATCGCCAAAAGTTACCATCGTTTCATTCAGCCGCGCAAGAAACCTCACTCTGCGGTGGACGAACGAACTATTCGTTCTGGGGAGTCGGTAGCACTCCTCGGGGCTTTTCACGGGGTTTCGTTTTGGCTTGGGGAGTCATTTGTTTTAGTAGAATGAGCCGTTGTAGGGGGGCGCGAAGCGCAAGAGAGTTTTGCGGGCTTCCCCAAGACAGCCTCTCGATACAAGGGGACTTCCCTTCGACAAAAAACACGGCTGGCTCGATTATATCTGCTCGACTTTTGACCCGGTCTCCCGATGATCTGGCGGGAACCCGGCGAGAAACAACACGAGACGACCGAGCGCTGTTCCAGGACTGCTGCAATGTATGCGTGCGTACGTGAACGTGGTGCTCCTGTGAACGGCGAGCCTTCCTTGCTTGCATCGAAGGAGTCTTGTCCCTTGAAGGCGGACGGGTCCCTTGAAGGCGGACGGGCACCGACAACAACGCGACAAGCGCAGCATAAGTCTCGAAACTGGGCACCGACCGTCTGACGGTGATGATCCGAGAGGACCGCCGAAAGCGCTAAATGTCATCATGGCAGCAGTGGGCCCACTCAAGGGGCCAATTTTCGCCTGACTCTCTTTGTTGCGTCACTCGGTGACACAAATTCCTGGACCTCCTCAACAAAAAAAAACTGCCATGCCAAAACGAGACACCAAATGCGGAGATCGTTACTCCTGACGTCAAACGGTGAAAGCAGCACCGGAACGGGTCCGGATCAGAACGGACCCGCGGTACCGTGGGTTGCGTATGATACCACACCCGGTTGAACCGATGTTGAATATTTCACTATGTACTCCCCACGAAGAGGACCTCCACGCCAAACGACACGTTTTCGGAAAGATCTCGACGACAAGGATCCAACGCCGGCATTTTTCGGCACCGTCACGACCCCTGCCAGCCGCAGCATCATTATTCATAAGCATTGGTCAAACAGTCCAGAGATTTTCGTTGCATCTAATATGCGCCCGGCGGCAGAGTTGGTCCGATGACAAGCTCGATGAGCCGTAGTGCTTGAAAGAACGAACGGATTGCTGGTGCCTTCGCCCGTCATCGTGGTCACCTTCCGGTTGGACGGACGGGCACTCTCACACATTTCCGAAGGTCTTGTACGTAGTTAAGCTTACCGTACTCACGAACCAAAGTGAATTCGACCAACAGCAACACCGCAATGCCGCGGCATTTTGCCCCCAAGAAAAGCGCAAGAACGACGACACTTGGACTCCGAGAACGAACGGGCAATATACAAAAATCTCAACACGCCAGATTGAGCAGACTAGTCAATGGTTGTGTGTCTCATGCTGACCTCCTTCATGACTAAACCGTCGTCTTCGCGCACCGTCCCCCTTCATTTCACCGACACCACTAAAAAACAAAAAGACATGTTACCGAGAAATTCTGAGAGGAACAGCACGGTTGCCTGAGGCAACATGCGTTGCCAATCTCGACAACTGCATTCCGCGAGAAAAAAGACTATAAACATGAAATGAATGGCGAACAGTAGAGACATTGAGACGAAACGGCAGCGTCCATAGCAGTGCGGGCCCGTCAACGGCAGACAGGCTCGAATACCCCCGAACAACGGCAGACAGAACGACCAGGGCTGCTGAGTGTTCCTTACGTAATTTGCAAGGCCGAGGCTCAGCTGACCATGCAACAACTTGAAGGGTTACGTCTTGTGGTGGAGAAAAAAAAACAACGCAACGCTTCTCGCAAGCAAAATGACAGCCCGCGCCCCCATCCAAATCCCACAAACTATACAAGACTGTTCCAACAGCCTTGCCACCGCCCCCTCATGTGGCGGAGTCAGCACAAGACACCTAACAACACAGACCAGAAACAGCACCAAGCAGACAGACCTGTCTTGCGACTACTATGTTGGAAATACCTAACTCTTTTCGAGGGCCGGAAAATTTCCTTCCCAGCCTGAGGTGCCGACATGTTACTCAGCACCACACTTTACCCTGCTGCTGCGGCCTCCGTACACAGTGAAAAACGACCCCCGGAGAGCACCACCACCACCACATTTTCGAGCCCCACCAACGAGAAAAAGCCGAAACCCATAAAACACAAGCGAGGGGGGACGACAGACCCGCACGACACCAGATGAAAAAGGCGCCGTGGTACCCCCCCCCGCCGTCGCACCACCCCGCGAAGGCCAACCCCCGCGGAGGCGGCCAAGCCAAGAACCGACACTCGCTTGCTGGATGCTGCACCGCGGCGGACGACCCAACACCGGCACCGGCACCGGCACCGGCACATCCACCACAGCAAGCGCGGAACGGACGAGATCGCGGGATCAGAGCAGCAGCAGTAGCAGCAACGACGTCGACAACAACAACAACAACAACAACCCTCTCGCTTGGCCGTTGCGCACATGTACAAAATTACGGCCGCTTTGCCGCGACCGACTCACGGCGAAGCAGCAGTTACCGCCGCTTGTTGCCGCGACCGATTCACAGCGAAGCAGCAGCAGACGACGAGACCGTCTCGTTCCGGTCGGACCCCTCCTCCACCTCCCCCGCGGCGCCCGCGCCCCCGGTTGCTGCCAGATCCTTCATCGTCTCCACGAGGAGGCCGCCTACGTCCTCCAGCACCGGCCCACCGGCGACCCTGGCCGTCGGGTCACCCCCCACGGATGCGGGGATTGACCCGCGCATCGGCGGGAGCGGGAGGTCGTAGCCTACGGAGTAGCGGTCCAGGCCGAGGGAGGCCTGGTCTTCCCCGAACCGCGAGGACACCGGCGGCGGCGGCAGCGACGAGAGCTGGGCGGGGTTGTCGGACTCCTCGAGGAGGTCCTCCATGCACCAGCACTCCTCCGGTACGGCTTCCGGGTTCTCTTCCCACTTGGTGTGGCAGGCCTCCTCTCGCCGCTTGTACTCGTTGACGGCGGCGTCCTTCTCCGCCATCAGGTCTTTCGAGGGGGGGGGGCGGGGGGGGGATGGCAAGGGAGAGGAAGACAAGAAAATGGCGGTGAGAGAACGGCGACGGATCGGGCGATGCGTCAGCTACGTCCGTGGTGGTGTTGCGACACATAGGGACGGGGGCAAGACCGGGGGGGCCGGGGGGGGGTGTACAAGAAAACGGCGTGGGTCGGGCGGGGGAGGGAGAAGAGAAAGACAGAGAGAGATAATTCAACAACGAAACGTTTCTGTTGACTAGGTGGTGATAACCTCTTCAACATACACGAGGTTTGAGCAAAACGAGCAGCAAACAAACAAACCAAAGCCGCGTCAAACCGAAATAGTTCTGCCCCAAATGGCGACGCCAAAAGCGTAAAAGACGAACCGGACTCGCTTCTAATCGCTACGTTGGGGCTTGGCACGAAATCACCTCGACGGTCTCCGCTTGCCGGGACCAAAAGACACACGCAACGCGCGAGCAAAGCAGACGTCCGTCGGGGTAGGCAAACACAACTACTGTAACTCACCTCCCACGAAGCGGCCGCGGAAGCCGTGCTCGTCCGGCTCCCCGATCGGCTTCAGGTCCGCGTCAAAGTCGTACACGAACGGCTCACCCGTCGGGATGTTGACGTTTCGGATAGCGTCTTCTTCAACGTCGTCCAGCCTGGCAAGGGTTCCGATTGGTGGTGACATATCGCCGTTACATATTGTGTTTGACTGGGTGCTCCGGGAAAGACCCGAAACGACGGGGGGGGGGGGGGGGGGGGGGGGGCTCTCCCCCCCCCTGGGGGGGCCCCGGGGGGAAAAGGGTCAAAAGGGGGGGGGTTGAGGGGGTTTGAAAATTTCACCTGGGGTTTTGAAAATGTCCCCCCCCTCCAACAAAGCTCCCGGAGGGGTTTCGCGGG